ACTGTATTGGTTTCATAGTTTCTGACCTGGCAATATACAGTGGTACCTCGGTTTTCAAACGTCTCCACTGACGTTTTGGAACACCGTAAACCCAGAAGTAAATGCTTCGTGTTTTCGAATGCGCCTCAGAAGTCGAACCGCAAACGCGGCTTCCCTATTGAGTTTTCCGTATTGATATTTCCGTTTTGAGTTTTTGAACGTTTCAGAACTCGGTCTAACAAAACAGATTATGTCCTAAAACCGAGGTACTATTGTATCACAAATCATGATGTGTATTAGAGGTGGGCGATATATTATCCAAAATTGGTTTCAAGTCCGTATCATAAGACCGGCTTCATAATCTTTGACCTGGCAATATATCACAAATCATGATGTGCATGTGCTTTGCGAAAAATCACAATGTGGGGGAAACTGTGAAGCTAGCCAATGCCTATTTATTGCTCCACCCTATTTCAGACATCATGATATATTGATACAGTGGTACCTCAGGTTAAGTACTTAATTTATTCCGGAGGTCCGTTCTTAACCTGAAACTGTTCTTAACCTGAAGCACCACTTTAGCTAATGGGGCCTCCTGCTGCTGCCGCGCCGCCGGAGCACAATTTCTGTTCTCATCCTGAAGCAAAGTTCTTAACCTTAAGCACTATTTCTGGGTTAGCGGAGTGTGTAACCTGAAGCGCATGTAACCTGAAGCATATGTAACCCGAGGTACCACTATATTATCATGGTGTTTAGCTGGTGATATATCGCGATGTTGAAAACCAGGTATCGCCCAGCCTTAGTGGTGACTACAAGCCAATCCAGCCCCTTACCTGCTAAATGTGGGACTCACCTGTGACTGCTATGCTGCTGGGCCCATTTCCAAATTTCCCTAATCAGCAGCAAAGAGGCGCCCCCCCCCCCAAGCCACAGCCTTAGAAGGAATTAACTGACCCCAGTGGCATCTTGGGCGAGGGTACGCACACGCTGGTATAAGCCATTCTCGCCTTCCTTTTGCCAAGCCGCCTGGCAAACAAATCCTGCAAGGATCAAATACCCATCGCTGACAGGAATGCTCTTTCTAACATGAGAGAACAAGACACTCTTGCCTGCGCTGGAATTTATCTCCCTCCCCATTGCCACCACCCTCACCTGTGTTTTGGTGAATCCACGTAAACCAAACATATTTCCCCTGCCATACGGCACATTCTTGCCCGGGACAGTGTTTTGGCAATGAGAACCGTCATGTGCTTAGACAGGAGCCTGTGACGGCACGTCGGCAGGGAGAACACACATCGGCACTTTGCCTACGAATGTACGGAACAACCTTGCACCGAGTCACACCCTTGACACGTCTAAAGGCTGTTTGGTTGCCATGGCCTGGCTGGCAGCGACTTCCGAGGGGGGGTCTTTGCCAGCCACGTGGAGGAGGACTGAGGGTCGGATTTGACACCTTCTGTGTGAAAACGGCATGGGACTGCCATTGGTCCTTCCTTACTGGTCAAAGGCTGGATTTGCCATAAGAACGTTCTGATGGATGGTAGTGGCGCCTGCCCTGTGGAACGCCCTCCCACCAGATGTCAAAGAGAACAACAACTACCAGACTTTTAGAAGACATCTGAAGGGAGCCCTGTTTAGGGAAGCTTTTAAAGTTTAATAGAGCACAGTGGTACCTCACGTTACATATGCTTCAGGTTACATATGCTTCAGGTTACAGACTCCGCTAACCCAGAAACAGTGCTTCAGGTTAAGAACTTTGCTTCAGGATGAGAACAGAAATCATGCTCTGGTGGCGAGGCGGCAGCAGGAGGCCCCACTAGCTAAAGCGGTGCTTCAGGTTAAGAACAGTTTCAGGTTAAGAACGGACCTCCGGAACGAATTAAGTACTTAACCCGAGGTACCACTGTAATGTATTTTAATATTCTGTTGGAAACCGCCCAGAGTGGCTGGGGAAACCCAGCCAGATGGGCGGGGTATAAAGAAGAAGAAGAAGAAGAAGAGCCACACCTGATGAACTGCTGGCTTTTCTTTTTCAAAGAGCAGCCCTCATGCTACCTGTCAACTTTCATATTGAGCACACGATCTAAATCTAATTTATCAGCAAAGCTTCCTGAACTACCATATTGGCTGCGCCGCATTTTAAACCAAGGTCTCTTCCGGACAACCCGAGTTTTGAGCCTTTTCTCCTGCTTTGCCTGCACAAAGTCTGCAGAGAGAGGAGACAAAAGCACATCCCTTCCGATTTGCTTTCAGGGAGTTCATGTGATGTTTCATCCGTTATCCCACAATTCCCTGCCACTTTTATTTTAAATCTCAGTAACTCAGGTATTTAGGAGGCGGCGGGCGGGGAACAGGTTTGCTGCTTGAGTGCGTCAAATCCACACTTCAATAAGTACGCTACCTGGGTTTTCAGGTATGCAATGGAATCCTACCAGCAAAACACCAACAGTCTGGAAATACCCAAAGTTCTCACCGCACCCTCCTCTCCCCACGAAACCTTTATTTATTTCTCCTTTCCCCCTTTTAACCTTTCATCTCACATGAAAGGGAGCTTAGCATCTGGGAAAGTATCATGGTCCTCTGCGATTCTTATTTGGGTTTATGAGCATGGCAAGCTCCAGCCTGACATACCCTGGTCCATCTAGAATAATAATAATAATAATTTATTATTTATACCCTGCCCATCTGGCCGGGCTTCCCCAGCCACTCTGGGAGGCTTCCAACAAAACATTAAAATGCAGTAATGCATCAAACATTAAAAGCTTCCCTAAAGAGGGCTGCCTTCAGATGTCTTCTAAAAGTCTGGTAGTTGTTGTTCTCTTTGACATCTGGTGGGAGGGAGTTCCACAGGGCGGGTGCCGCTACCAAGAAGAACCCTCTGCCTGGCTCCCTGTAACTTGGCTTCTCGCAGGGAGGGAACCGCCAGAAGGCCCTCGGCGCTGGACCTCAGCGTCCGGGCTGGACGATGGGAGTGGAGACGCTCCTTCAGGTATACAGTGGTGCCCCGCAAGACGAAAAACTCGCTAGATGAAAGGGTTTTGCGTTTTTTGAGTCGTTCCGCAAGACGAATTTCCCTATGGGCTTGCTTCGCAAGACGAAATGTCTTGCGAGTTCTTGCGAGTTTGTTTCCTTTTTCTTAAAGCCGCTAATAGCCGCTAAGCCGTTAATAGCCGCTAAGCCGCTAACAGCCGCTAATAGCCGTGCTTTGCAAGACGAAAAAACCGCAAGACGAAGAGACTCGCGGAACGGATTAATTTCGTCTTGCGAGGCATCACTGTACTGGACCGAGGCTCAGTCCTGGGGTCCTTAGTGCTTTCTACCTACAACCCTGTGAGGTAGGCCAGGATGAGATCCAGCGACTCCGGTGAGCTTTCCTGGCAGACCTCGCCAGGGCCGGCTTACCCATAGGCACTAGGGGTATGGGGCACCTAGGCACCAGACTCTCAGGAGTGCCAGGCTGAGAGTCCAGGGCTGAGATTTGGAGACTGGAGATTGAAGAGCCAGGTCAACAACTCTGGCCCCCTAAAAAAAAGCTCAACAGCCTGCCCCCCCCACTCAATGCTATATTTTGTCTGAGTAGACCTTCCACTCAATGCTATGTTTTGTCTGAGTAGCAGGGTGGATAAGAATCAATTATGTGTTTTTTTTAAATAAAAAAATCGATTTTTAAAAAATTAAATCAGATTTTTTAAAAAAAATTAAATCGGATTTTTAAAAATAAAATGCTTTAGGAGGAAAAATATTTCTCAAGATAGTTTTCTACTTAAGTTACATTATAGTCCAAAGGCTATTCATCAGGAAATAAGGATTTGTTTTAAGTTTTTCATGTGTGCTAAAACTCCATCGAAGTTTTTTTTAAAAAAAATTGTTTAACCACATCAGTTAACAAACATGGATACATATGCTATAATGCTATTGTTTTAGTTAAATAAGTTGTTTAAATTGTTATTAAGGAAACAGTTATTTTTCTCCTTCTAATAAAGTACAGCAGAAAAGTTGTCCAAATATAAACAGTTAATTTATTAAACCTCACGATAATTTAATAATTATCTGTCTTATGTATTTCTAATAGTATAACCAAATCAGTCATTTTTGATGCGAGTGTAAAAACTACTCTGAAAATTTATTATTCCAAAATTGAAACCTTCACCTGGTTGTAAATATTAAGATTATAGCAGCAAGGGAAAAAATGGCTGAAATCAAAGTCTTGATGACTAGTGATTTAAATCGATTTGATTTAAATCAAATCCACCCTGCTGAGTAGTGTTCCATACAGAGAGAGCCTCTTGGCCAGCAGGGGCCCATCAGTTTGGGATAAGTAATAACGATTAAACCGCCACAATAATATATCATAACAGTGACAATTTATGTTGGAAATGCAAAGAAAAAGAAGATACCTTTTATCATATGTGGTGGACCTGCCCCAAGGTGAAAGACTTCTGGGAGAAGATTTATAATGAATTGGAAAAATAATGTTGAAATATACATTTATTAAGAAACCAGAGGCCTTTCTTCTTGGAATAACAGGTTTGGAATTGCCCAAGAAAGATGTTAAATTGTTTTTGTATGCCACAACCGCAGCAAGAATTTCGTTAGCGAAGAATTGGAAAACACAAGAAGTTCCAGCAGGGGAAGATTGGCAGATGAAAATGATGGATTTTTCAGAGCTAGCCAACCTGACTGGAAGAGTCCGCGACCAGAAGGAGGAGGAAGAATGGATAAAATTTAAAGACTATTTAGCTAAATGTGTTAAGATAACTTAATTGGAAAAGCTTGCAAATATTAGATAGGCTTAGGATTTAAATATGTAAGGATAGGAATTAAGATGTTTAAAGCTAGATTAGAAAGAATGAAAGATGCTAAGGGATCAAGTTAACTTTTTGAGAAGATTGATTTTGGAAAACTGTTAAAATGATTTACAATGAAATTCAACCAGGGGGATTTGAGGAAGTCACTTAACAATGTTATTAAGATTGGTTTAATCGCAATTAGGATGTATGTTTGTTTGTCTTAAAAATTTTCTGGAAAATTACTTTAAAAAATTTGAAGGAAAAAAACCCGCCACAATAAATGAACCCGGAGTGATATCTCTCCCCTCGCACCACGCAGGTAGGCAAGTTTCAATGAATGGGAAGAGAGGTCTTCTTTCACACGGCCGGCTCTGACTTCCTCGGCAATTAATGTTCCTGCTGGCATCGCTCTTAGCAAAACCTGATCCTCAGATCCCAGTTCGTACCTGGCAGTTACAAATCACGAAAACTGTAAAAACCCGCAGCTTCCTCCTTGAGATAAGGGGTGCTGAGGTGCCGTTCCGCTGGCAAAGGAGTCCTTGGAAATGTCTTGAGAATCTGGCTGCGATAAGAGCCGGACCTTTTCTGGAACTACGGGGTTAGTCCAGCCTTTGCCAATCTGATTCCCTCCAGATGTTTTTGAACTAGAACTCCCAGCACCCAGAGCATCTGGAAGGTGCCAAGCTGGCAAAAGCTGGGCTGGTTTAGCCCATGTAAGGATCTGCAGCAGCAGCAGCAACAAAACAATGGTTCTTTTATAATGTAGAATTAAAAATAAGAAATCTGGTCCTCTGCCTAACCGCACCCCTTTATTTGCTGAATTCGAGTAAGTCGGTTTCCTCCACCCTTTCCTTTTTCTCGGGCTTTTTCCCGCCTGCGCAGAAACCGCAGCAAAAGTGGCTTTCTCTGTGACCTTGACACCCACGCCGTTCAGAGGATCCGCTCGCTTGAAACTTGCTCTTTACGTTTTCATCCCCAAAGATCAGGGAGTGTTTTTGTGGGCGGCGGAGGCAGGTCTCACGAAGAACCAAAACGTGGGATGCTTTGCCTCTTCCTGTGCAATCTTATAAAAAAAAAACCTCCATGGCCATTACTGCTATTGTAGACCTTGGTCTCGGGTCCAGGAGACTGCAAAGGACATGTCTTGACTCTCAGTTCGTGCTCAGCCTTGCAAAGCAAAAAATCCACAACTCACTCTCTCTCGCTATTGGACCAGAGCCAAGGCCAGTCTAGTCCATTGACCTGAACTCTGCGATCATAATAAATAATAATAATAATAATTTTTTATTTATATCCCGCCCTCCCCAGCCGAAGCCGGGCTCAGAGTGGCTAACAACAATAAAAGTAACACAACATTCTAAAATCAATTCATTTTAAAATCAAATTCATGGCGACCATTGGGCTAGAGTTCTGTGAGGATTACCAAAGGAGGGGGTCAGACTGTGCCTTGGTCAAAGGCCTGGTGGAACAGCTCTGTCTTGCAGGCCCTGCTGAAAGATGTCAAGTCCCGCAGGACCCTAGTCTCTTGTGACAGAGCGTCCCACCAGATTGGGGCCAGTACTGAAAAGGCCCTGGCTCTGGTCGAGGCCAACCTAACCTCCCTGTGGCCCGGGACCTCCAGGATGTTTTTGTTTGAAGACCGTAAGGTCCTCCGTGGGACATACCAGGAGAGGTGGTCCTGTAGGTACGAGGGTCCTAGTCCGTATAGGGCTTTAAAGGTTAAAACCAGCACCTTAAACTGGATCCTGTACTCCACCAGGAGCCAGTGCAGCTGGTACAGAACCGGGTGAATGTGATCCTGCGGCGAGGACCCCGTAAGGAGTCTCGCCGCGGCATTCTGCACCCACTGGAGTTTCTAGGTCAGTCTCAAGGGCAGCCCCGCGTAGAGCGAATTACAATAATCAAGGCTGGAGGTGACAGTTGCATGGATCACAGTGGCTAGGTCAGGGCAAGAGAGATCATCTACAAGATGCCCCAACAGGGCGGCCACAAAGCAGGAGATAAGAGCAATAGCCTTCTACTGTTGATTCAGAAGCAGGCGTTCTCTGACCCTGCAGGTAGGCCATAGCCGTTGTGGCTAACAGTAGCCATTGTATTTCTTTAGCTGCAAGCTATAATGAAGATGAAGGCATGGAGATGTCGAGCCTTCAATTCGGATCTCCATTTGATGGCTGCCAATGCAAATAGAGAAACGTGCCGAGGCTCAACAAAAATCTTCCTGCGGCTAAAAGGATATTGTTGAGCAGGAGGGGCAAACTGTAAGTTGCACTTGGCACCTAATTCATGTTGCTTAGAAACGATAGCTCAGTCGCTCTCAAAGGCTGTGGGCATGTGTGCCACACTGGCCTAGCAGGAGAGGATGGCGAGTGTGGCAGGGAGATTCAAGGACAAAGAAATGTTTAAACATTTCAATATAGCATAGCATAGTATCCAAATTATGAATTATGAATTATTTTTGAATTATGGTGCTGGAGGAGACTCAAGAGTCCCATGGACTGCAAGAAGATCAAACATGTCCATTCTTAAGGAAATCAGCCCTGAGTGCTCACTGGAAGGACAGATCCTGAAGCTGAGGCTCCAATACTTGGGCCACCTCATGAGAAGAGAAGACTCCCTGGAAAAGACCCTGATGTTGGGAAAGATGGAGGGCACAAGGAGAAGGGGACGACAGAGGACGAGATGGTTGGACAGTGTTCTCGAAGCTACCAGCATGAGTTTGACCGAACTGCGGGAGGCAGTGGAAGACAGAAGTGCCTGGCGTGCTCTGGTCCAGGGGGTCACGAAGAGTCGGACACGACTAAACGACTCAACAACAACAACAGGGGGTTGGACTTGGCAGGGGGTTGGACTCGATGGCCCTTGTGGTCTCTTCCAACTCTATGATTCTATGAACAGTATCCAAATACAGTCATACCTCGGGTTGAAGTAGCTTCGGGTTGAGCATTTCCGGGCTGTGCTCCGCGGCGACCCAAAAGTAACAGAGTGCATTAGTTTTGGGTTTCGCTGCTCGCGCATGCGCAGATGCTCAAAATGACATCATGCGCGTGTGCGGCAAATTGTGACCCGCGCACACGCAGACGCGGGTTGCATTTGCTTCAGGATGCGAACGGGGCTCCGGAACAGATTCCGTTTGCATCCAGAGGTACCACTGTAACTGGAACAAGCTGGAAGGTGTGCAGAAGAGGGTAACCAAGGTGGATCAAGGGTCCAGAAGCCAAGCCTGATGAAGAACGGTTGAAGGAGCTGGGCATGTTTAGCCTGGAAAAGAGGAGACTGAAAGGAGATACGATAGCCATCTTCAAATATCTCGAGGGCTGTCACATGGAACAGGGGAAAGCTTGTTTTCTCCTGCTCTGGAGGGCAGGACTCGGACCCATGGCTTCAACTTACAAGAAAGGAGATTGAAACTAAACATCAGAAAGGTGCTCTTTCTGACAGTAAGAGCTGTTTGACCATGGAATGGTCTCCCTCGGGAAGTGGTGGACTCTCCTTCCTTGGAGGTTTTTAAGCAGAGGTTGGATGGCCATCTGTCATGGATGCTTTAGCTGAGATTCCCCTGCATTGGAAGGGGGTTGGACTAGATGACCCAGGGGTCCCTTTCAACTCTACAATTCTATGATTCCATTTTTTTTAGTTATTTGCAGGATACAGGTGACTCCCCATTTATGCAGGGGTTCTGTAACGGGCCCTTGTGCACGTACGCTGAGTTACGTAAAATGGGGAGCGCCCAGGAGAGTCTTCCTCTGTCCTCCTGCTCGCACGAAGGGAAGAAGATTCCCCGCTTGTGTCGGCTGTGACAGCAAAGCTCGGTTGACCAGGTGCCCTCCATTTCCCCTTCTGTGTGTGTGTGTGTGGTTGCGAGCAAACAGAACACACATGAATGGGGAGTTGCCTGTATAGTTAGATGTTTAGGGAAGCTTTTAATGTTTAATAGGTTATTGTATTTTAATATTCTGTTGGAAGCCGCCCAGAGTGGCTGGGGTAACCCAGCCAGATGGGTGGCATTTAAATAATAAATTATTATTATTATTGTTATTGTTATCATCATCATCTCTTTTCCAAGAGCCTCTAGTGACACTGAGGACAACACTGGGTGTGTTTTCCAATGTATTTTTTGTTTTTCACCACTAGAAAATTTGCTGTGGGTGTGAGCAGATTCTTCTTCTGAAACGGTGGCTCAGAGAAAAATGTCTGAGAACCACTGCTGTAGGCCACATCCTTAGAAGTACAGGAAGCTAAAAAAAATCAGGTCAGGCTATCATAAAAACATAAGAAAAGGCTGCTTGGACCAAGTCCATGGTCCCTCTAGTTGATTGGAAGGTTGGCGGTTCGAATCCCCGTGACGGGGTGAGCTCCCGTTGCTCGGTCCCTGCTCCTGCCAACCTAGCAGTTCGAAAGCAGGCCAGTGCAAGTAGATAAATAGGTACCACTGCCACAGGAAGGTATACGGCGTTTCGGTGCACTCCGGTTTTCGTCACGGTGTTCCATTGCACCAGAAGCAGCTTAGTCATGCTGGCAACATGACCCGGAACGCTGCCTGCGGACAAACGCCGGCTCCCTCGGCCTGAAAGCGAGATGAGTGCCACACCCAAAGGTTAAGTCCACCTTTGACTGGACTTAACCATCCAGGGGGCCTTTAGCTTTACTTTTATACCATCTAGTCAAACACCCTGTTCTCACAATGGCCAACCAGATGCCTGGAAGTATCTGAACACAAGAGCAACTCTTCTCCTCCAACCATGGAGACAAGGCATAGCTATTGTGGCTGGTAGCCATCAACAGCCCTTTCCTCCACGAACTTCTCTAAACTTCTTTTAAAGCCATCTAGGTCATCGCTGCCTCTTGTGGGAGAGAGTTCCACAGTTTAACTATGGGCTGCATTAAAGGTGTTGATCTTTAAAGCCCTAAACGGCCTCGGCCCAGTATACCTGAAGGAGCGTCTCCACCCCCATCGTTCAGCCCGGACACTGAGATCCAGCACCGAGGGCCTTCTGGCGATTCCCTCCCTGCGAGAAACAAAGCTACTGGGAACCAGGCAGAGGGCCTTCTCGGTGGTGGCGCCCTCCCTGTGGAACGCCCTCCCACCAGATGTCAAAGAGAACAACAACTACCAGACTTTTAGAAGACATCTGAAGGCATCCCTGTAAGCTTTTAAAGTTTAAGAGGTTATTGTATTTTAATATTCTGTTGTAAGCCACCCAGATTGGCTGGGGAGACCCAGCCAGACGGGCGGGGTACAAATAAAAAAATATTATTATTATTATTATTATTATTATTATTATTATTATTATTAGTTAGGAGAACAGAGCCTCCGCAGTATATCTCTGAAGGCCAATTGTGGTTTTTTTTGGGGGGTGGGAAAGAAAGGCAGTTTCCTGTATGTCCTACTTGGGAGTTTCTCACAGCAATTTGGCTGGTCACAATACTGGAGCAGGTGCACTTTTTAAGATTTGAAAAGGCTATCTGGATTTTTAGTGCACCAAACCTGAGATCTCCTTAAGATGTCATATGCCAAATATAGCCGAGGACTAAACTCTAAATACTATGTGCCATTGCATGTCACTATCAAACGCAGTAAGTCTCTGTTAAGTCCTAACAGACAGCAAATACTGTGAAATGCCAAATTCTGCCTAATATCCAGTAATAAGCATCAAACATTTATTTAACAAGATATACATTACCACAATAAAATAAAACCTCTAAGCGATTAAGCTAAAGTAATATAAAATATTCATAAGGAAATACTGTATAAAATCAACAGACTTTAAAAAAACCAAAAGATATAAAGCAATTAGCAAAATATAGCTAAAACCAACGGTTTTTAAACCAAATGTGCATAATCACTCACACATGTCGCCTGTGCAGGTTTGTCTAAACAAAAGCCTTTTTAGCAGGCATGGAAAGCAGTACAATGAAGGCACTTGCCTAATACTGGAATTGAGCATCATAGGATTTCAAGGTCATATTAAAATTATTTGGCAAATTATAGAGCAGACTATACAGTACATACTTGGAAAATTGTATTAGTTAAACAATTCCTGGAAACTCTTTCGAGGCTGAAACTGCAGTGCAGAATTTTGGCTTTTCAGAATTTTTTTGCATTTCAGCTCAGATATAAAGCAATAACCGAGAGTGTAAGACGCAACTTAAAATGGCCCCGAATTAAGACAGTATGCATAAAAACAAAAGAAGTTGTACAGACTTGAACCAAAATCTATCTCAGTGTTAGTGGGAGAAATTAGATTCAGTTCACATTTAAAAGTGAATCAGTCTAAGTCACTTCCCCAAACAATACAGAAACTCGAAAGACAGCTGTCCTTTGAAATTCATGCTTCTTTGAATTTCGCCATGCAGTTCTCCAGCAAAGCAATGGTTACAAAAATGCCTAAATTGGGGGTAAAGTCTGCATTACTGTGTTAGCAAAAACAGCACGCCAAAGAAATGCTTTGCATTAGCGGGAATTTGCTTTGTGAAATTGTGAATATTAGGCAAAAATTGCATACAAAAAAACGTGCACGTTAAATGCGCGCATAAAAGCTGGTGAATTTTCACGACGATTTTAAAAAATTGCAGACCAGTGTGAAACGGCGGAGAACTGAATGTGAAGATTGCAAAAACGAAATACTCAGTATATCCTGAATATCTAGGAGCTGCAATGTGCAAAGGAGACAGCAGATTAGTCTACATTGTCCAAGTCAGAACATCCTACAGAAGGAGAAAGGAGAAATGAACGAAGGGGTGTCATGGCCAGGAAGATGCATGAAGTAGAGCCTAATCAGCACATGGTCACATGAAGGTCTCCTTAGTCAGAGCATTGCTCTGTCTTGCCCAGGACTGACTGAGCAACAGCAGAAGCATTTCTCTTGGGTACCAAGAAGACGGTTCTTCCTGCCCCCTTGCACGGGGAACAGCCAGAAATTTCCACATGCAAAGCCAGCCGGTCTATCGCGATGAGCTCTCCATGTGGGAAGCATCTGCCGCAAACTACAGAGAGCTAAACGCACCCCCTCCCAATTGTTTCATTACTGGGGTCCAAATCTTGCATTACGCCTTTAGGAAGTTGCAGGTAAGCCCTGATCTCTCCGCGGCTGCCCTCTCATCCCCCACAATCTTCCATCTGCAATACAGACACTGTGAGTCTTTGTAGGGCTGTGGTGAGAATCATGCAACATGATTTGGGATGTTCAGCTCAAGCCAGGAAGGAGAAAAGAACAAAGGCAACCAAACCGCCCTGTTGTCAGCATTGTCGTTAGAAAATAAGCCAAGTGGGAATCGGGTTCTGATTTTAGGAAAAACCAGAAAAAGCAATCTATGGCAGGCTGGTGGTGATTCTACATTAGAGGTCTCTTTTAGTCCCTGGACCTGATGTGCAACACTCACCCCAATGTTTAAAGCATGCTACTCCTTGATGTACCTTCCTCCTCCATCTTCAGGATAGCTCAGTCCGCAGAGAACGAGATACTGAATCTTAAGGTTGTGGGTTCGAGCCCCACATTGGGCAAAAATATTCCTGTGCTGCAGGGGGTTGGGCTGGATGACCCCTGGAGGTCCCTTCCAACTCTACAAGTCTACGATTGTGAGCTAAACCAGTCGCACTGCAGCAGCAGAGGAAGATGAGGGAGAGGGGAGGAGAGAAAGCCTGGGGTCCGCAGACAACCCTACTCATCAGCCTCAGTTGTCCGCCTCTAAAATGGGAACAGAGATAAGCTTCCTCGCGGCGACCGTTTGAAATGCCGGCGAGGTTGCAAAGCGTCTTGAAAGCACGCAGTGGAAATGATTGAAAACCAACCCATGAGCCTCTCAACCCAGAATTAAAATGGCATTTTGACTTACTCAGAGACTGGGATCCCAGGCAGTCTTCATGATGACAAAGGCAGCAAGTTCATTTCATCTCAGGCACCAAATCCACTTGCTGCCTGGCGTGCACACGAAGCCTTCTCCTTTTCCTGGCGGTGCTCCTGGACGGCTCCCGAAATCTGCTGCGAGCGAAAGGGAAAGGAGGAACTGTGGTGAGGCTTCTGTCTGTGACCCCTCCTCCTATCCGAGCCAGTGGGTCAAGAATCCACCCTCAGCGAACACTCTGCAAAGATTATCCTTATTTCCCCATCCTCCTCTTCCTCTCTGCTGAAAGAGCTGCCTATTTCTTGCCTGTGGCTGCTCTCGGAGAAGCTGATCTTTGCCTGAGCTGCCGGGGCCCAGGACCGTGCAGTTTGGAGACGCAAGCCAAGAGGCGAACGAGAGATAAGATATGCACAAAAAATTCCTCCAAAACGAAAGCAAGGCACACCTTCAGCCAACACCTCCCAAACTCACAGCGCATGCTTGTATTCTGGGTTCCCTGATTCCCGCACACTCCCTTTCCGTTCCCCAAAAGCGGAGTGCGGCGCCATCCACCACGAACCGTTTGTACTCCACATGCAAATTACGGAACGTGGTGGACACACACCATCCCTGGCTGTGTGCACAAGGCAGCCTCCTCTCCCCGCTGCCTGATTCAAGGAGCTGCTTGAATCTGGTTTCATAACAGGCTCTTGACTAACCGGCAACTCTCTCTCACACACACATCGCAGAACGGGCTTGTGAGGAGAAGCTCACAGGAAACTGTCCTCGGCTGCCAATGCGCACCCTCCTTGCGGGCTTATGAATCCTTCACGGTGGAGAAATTAAACAGCGCTCGGGTCCTATGGTCCCAACGCACTGCAAACCTCAACATTCATGGACAGGCAGGTCTCTGCATCAAATCTGTCTATCCGTGCTTAAATGGAACTTCCACAGCCAGCGGCACTGTACCTCTGGGTACCAGAGGTGGGAGGAGGAGAAGAGCAAGAGAAATGACCAGAGGTGCCTGGCTGGCCATAGTTGCGCAGCAGGACTGGGCAGACCCCAGGGCTTGCAGGGCAAAGCAATTCTTATGCACTTAAGGATTAGAGCACATGGCTTTCGTGCAGAAGGTCCCAGGTGCGACGCGCAGAATCTCCAGGTAGGAGCTGGAGAGACCCCTGCCTGAAACCCTCCCAAGCAGCTGCCAGCCAGTGTGGGCAATGCTGGGGTAGATGGGCCAATGCTTTGGTCCAGTATAAGGCAGCTTCCTAAGGTTCCTGTCATCATGATTCGTATAGTCCTTTTCATTTGCTATGTGCTCAGCTTCCTTCACCCTGGGCCATGCTGGGTTTCACAAAATGCAAGGTGCCAGAACTGGGAATCTTAGTACCTCCACTTGCATCCCCAGCATCAAATGCACATAGAAGCAAAATAACTGAAAACTATAAGGCAGTGCCTTATTCCAGCTTAGGCTATTTGTCCATCTAGCCCAGTTTTCTATACTCTGACTGGCAGAAGTTCTCCCAAGGTCTTACAGAACCCTAGAATTGTAGAGTCGGAAGGGACCTCCAGAGCCATCTAGTCCAACCCCCTGCAATGTAGGAATCTCAACTCAAGCATCCATGAGAGATGACCATCCAACCTCTGCTTAAATATTTTCAAGGAAGGAGAGTCCGCCACCTTCCAAAGAAGTCCATTCCACAACTCTTACTGTCAGAAAGTTCTTAGTCAGAATCTCCCTTCTTGTAACGTGGAGCCACTGGTTTGATTCCTACCCTCCAGAGAAGCATAATACAAGCTTGCTCTACCCTCTGTGTGACAGCCCTTCAGATTAATTTGAAGATGGCTAGCTTATCTCCTCTTTCCTAGACTCAACATACCCAACTCCCTCAGCCGTTCCTCATAAGGCTTGTTTTTTTTTTCCTGGGCAGAGGAGGGTCTTTCTCATCATCCCCTCCCTCACCCTCCTGAAAGGAGATGGCGGGGACTGAATTTGGCACCTGTTGCATGAAAAGCAGGTGCTCAGCCGCTCAGTGGTCCCTCCCTGGTGCATAAACTGGCAAACACACATGGCAGGATGATTAGGCACTAAACAAGATAACCACACACACACACACACACACACAGCCCACTCAAAGGAATCCTAAACTTAGTTCAAAACATACTTGCAAGCAGCCCCGTTCCCAAACTTACATCTTAGCTTTCAGCACTCCATCGGCTGATTCTGCGAGATGGTCCTGGGCATGGAACAGGAGAGAACGAAACGCTCCTTTTTCTTTCCCACAGGGCAAACAGGATCGTTCCTATGCTTATCCACCTTTGGGCTCCACAAAATCCACCCTCGGTTTCTAAAAACCAGTGCTGCTTCTGTCTCAAAATGCAGCCGCTTCAATCGAGCTCTCTCTCTGTGTGTGGTTCAGCAGATCAGCATGCAACTTTCATTTTTCTTTTTTTGCTTCCGAAAGTTTCGCTCTGATTCAGAGGCAACGACGAAAAGAAAGAAACACCCCCCATCTAGAAAACCTGCCTGCCATATGCGAACAGAAACCCTCGCTCCTTGCAAACAACAATCGCAGCTTTCTGAATCCGGCAAACAAACGGGTTCTCTGGCAAAACGCTGGGACGAACGCAGATTCCCTAGGGAAAATGACTTGGCCTCCGATTAGCATACAAAAGCCATGAAACTGGCCACGTGCCTCGCTGACCACTAACAGAACCAGCTCCTGAATCATCCCGGCCACAGGATGACTCCTTGCACATTTATTTCCTCTCCCTTCCAACCCCTCCTGCCTGGGGTTACTGAGTGTCGCTGGGGGACCCTGAGCTGCCTCCGTGCGCTGATGGGAATTCCAACCCGGGTTGCACTCTGCAGCCATAATGATGCGGCCAGCTGCCAGCCCCTCGCTTTGAGTCAGCCCTCAGCTATACACCGAAGGATATTAGTCAGGGGCCAGGCAGCGCGTGTTTCGTAGTGAGTAGCTGCTCAGGCTCTCGTGCAATGCCGCTTCCGAGAAATGCAAGATCCTGGCAACGCCCAGAGCACAGGAAAATTCCACAAACAGAGAGAGAGAGAGAGAGAGAGAGAGAGAGAGAGAGAAGGGAAGACCAAAAGGAAAGGGGGAAAAGAGGGAGGCAGGGTAGGGTGGGGAGAGAAGCGAAGAGAGCGAACTGCAAAAAGTCTGGTGCTGGAACCCATGCTGGAACCCAAGCAAGAAGTTGCTTTCGGAGCCGGTGCAGTAATCAACAGAGGGGAGAGTATTATTGGGGGAGAGAAACGTCACCCCACAAAATGAGATTTGAGAGTCTTCCAGAAAAACAATCTCTCAAAGGACCTGTTGATGGCATTTTACCATTGTACCGTGGAGAGTGTATTAACTTATTATGGTCTGTGTGTGTGGTTTGGGAGCTGCACGGTCAGGGAAAAAACAACGCTGTCCAGGGTTGTAAAGACTGCAGAGAGAATAATTGGGTGCACTCTTCCCACTTTGGATCAAATCTATGCTTCCAGGTGCCATAAGAAAGCTGCAGAGATAGTGCAGGATAGAGCGCACCCCGGAAATGATGTCTTTCAGCAACTGCCTTCTGGAAGAAGGTAAAAAGGTAAAGGTAAAGGTACCCCTGCCCGTACGGGCCAGTCGTGTCCGACTCTAGGGTTGTGCGCCCATCTCACTTAAGAGGCCGGGGGCCAGCGCTGTCCGGAGACACTTCCGGGTCACGTAGCCAGCGTGACGAAGCTGCTCTGGCGAGCCAGCACCAGCGCAGCACACGGAAACGCCGTTTACCTTCCCGCTATAAAGCGGTACCTATTTATCTACTTGCACTTAGGGGTGCTTTGGAACTGCTAGGTTGGCAGGCGCTGGGACCGAAAGACGGGAGCTTACCCCGCCGCAGGGATTCGAACCGCCGACCATACGATCGGCAAGTCCTAGGCACTGAGGTTTTACCCACAGTGCCACCCGCGTCCCATCTGGAAGAAGGTACAGGGTTTTAAAAACTAGGACCAGCTGCCTGAGAAACAGTTTCTACCCAAATACGATTTTGGTTTTAAACGCCTTGTAAGGAGTCTGTATGGGAGTATATTGTATTTAAAAATGGGGCATCAGAGTTTTTAGGGGCTAACTAGGTTGGGATAGCTGGGATAGCAGGCTTGTTGGGTTTTGAATGTCTGGTGTATATTTTTCAATTTCATTGTTCTGTATGGGACAATGACAATAAAGATTATCGTAGCTCTCCTGTGCACGATTAGAAAAATAATCAACGGAAAGAAGCGAATGAAACTGGAAGCTGGTGTTGGTGTTGAGGTTAACTCTTTTCAGGTTCGCATAAGGGGGGGGAAAGAAGACTAAAGCTTGGGGTGAATTAACTCAGTGTCGTGGGATGGTTAAGTGGGTTGCTGAAAGGCGGAGCGGACAACCTGTGACTGTGGTGATGCTGTGACGACTAGCACACCTGGAAGGTGTTTGCAGAACTCTTGAGGGAGACAGTGGGCAGGCTATGAAACAAAAGCCAGGCCTACAAAGCTGTGCAGCTGCTACGTATAGACCAAACCAGAGGTGGTGTGGTGTAGTGGTTAGAGCGTTGGGAGACCAGGGCTCAAAGGCCCGCTCAGCCACAAAGCCTTGCAGCAGTCACTCATTCTCTGCCTGACGTACCTCACAGGGTTGTTGTGCGGATAAAATGGGGGGGGGAGAGAAGAGAGAATGACATACGCCACCATGAGCAACTTGGGAGGGAAAGTTGGATAGACATGCAATGAGGAATAAATGAATAAAGTAACAGCACACACAGTGGAGAGGACTGCACAAGGGATTAGAACACCCTGGTTCTGACATGCTTGCACAAATTGGCCTCCACCGACAACGCTGGTTTTCCACAACCTGCTTTTAATGTGGCCGAACTAGATGTGTGAAATGTGATGTCTTCCATAGGTAAAGGGACCCCTGACCATTAGGTCCAGTCGTGGCTGACTCTGGGGTTGCGTGCTCATCTCACTTTATTGGCCGAGGGAGCCGGCGTACAGCTTCCGGGTCATGTGGCCAGCATGACTAAGCCGCTTCTGGCAAACCAGAGCAGCGCACGGAAACGCCGTTGACCTTCCTGCCAGAGCGGTACCTATTTATCTACTTGCACTTTGACGTGCTTTCGAACTGCTAGGTTGGCAGGAGCAGGGACCGAACAACGGGAGCTCACCCCGTCGCGGGGATTCTAACCGCCAACCTTCTGATCAGCAAGTCCTAGGCTCTGTGGTTTAACCCACAGTGCCACCCGCGTCCCTCAGATGTCTTCAATACACTTGCTTTATTTTTAAGCGGCAGGTGCAGCCAGGGGAGAGATTGCAGCTAAGACAGTGGGAATGGGGCTGGTTCCCAGCGCATCTTGTTGAGAGAGTGGTTTCTCTGCGAACAGCTGCTATTTGCTCCAGGAAGGAAAGCTTCCCTAGCAGTTTCAGGTGGGTGGGACAGTCACTGGAGCAAAAAGATAAGGAAAAAGCAATCATTTGTTTTGCATGGATCTCTCTCTCTCACACACACACACACACACTCTGCACATGCACAAAAGCACATTCCTCCTATTCCAGAATGGTAGACGGGTTCATCTTCTGCAGCAAAAGCAGCAGCACCCTCTGACAAAGGCCACCAAGTTCTGAAGAAAGCCTCCAAACACCAGAACAGAGACTTGCGATTGTCCGTGATCTTGGACTCCAGCTCCCATCATCCCTGACCACCTGCCGGCTGGAGCCGATGGAATGTCTTGAGCCCAACAAAACATGGACAGAGCTACAGGTTCCCCATCCCTCTACCAGAGCTCTCATAATAATAATAATAATAATAATAATAATAAATTTTTATTTATACCCCGCCCTCCCCGGCTCAGAAAACCGGGGGCGGCTAACAACAAATTTAAAACACTTAATTGATGCAACAAAAAACAGCATAAAATACAGTATAAAACGTGAATAACAATAAATTCAGAATTCAAAAATCAATTTAGGGGGGAAATCCATCCAATAAACATTAGATGATCACCAGGGCTAGCTGGCTAAATTAGTCCTGTTTGGGCCAGCGAGGAGACCAGGGGAGAATTAGCTGTGGGATCCCAGAGTGGGTAATCTTCATAGAAAGGGGAGGGGAAGGGAAGGAAGGGGAATAAAAGATCAGGCTAAGTTCAAATTGAAAGCCAGGTGGAATAGCTCTGTCTTACATGCCCTGCGGAAGGAAGTTCAATCCTGCAGGGCCCTGGTCTCATGGGACAGAGCATTCCACCAGGTTGGAGCCATCACTGAGAAGGCCCTGGCCCTGGTGGAGGATAACCTGACTTCCTTAGGGCCTGGGACCTCTAAACTATCATTATTCATGGACCTCAGAGGTGTTGAGGTGGAAATGGGAGACTTGGCATTATTCTGATACCGTTCTCCATGCGCAGTTCAGTTGTCTTAGGCACACACTGTAGACCATATGTGTGGTCCCAAGGTGTGGTCTGAAGTCACACAAGGCTGCTGCCACATCTGGGTCTGCTCAAGGCTCGGATTGGTCCCAGAGCTCACCATGGAGACAGATTGATGGTTAAATCACTCTTGGAATCGTAGCTCTGGGAGGGGAATCGGGATCACCTAAGAACTCTGAGATCCCTTAAGCCAGGCATAGGCAAACTCGGCCCTCCAGATGTTTTGGGACTACAACTCCCATCATCCCTGACCACTGGTCCTGTTAGCTAGGGGTTAAGGGAGTTGTAGTCCCAAAACATCTGGAGGGCCGAGTTTGCCTATGCCCGCCTTAAACAACTACAGTTCTCAGAATTATTTGGAAAAGCCTTGTGGGATATCTTCAGGAAGGGCTAAGGAGCAAACGCTACACAAATCCAGAGTGGAATCCCTAAGATGGTTGGATGGCACCTTGTACACCTCTTTCCGGCAACTCCTGCAGCCAAGCTGGTGCCAGACGTCTTGCTCTGCTTTCCTTTGGACCACAACAGTGAGGCCGAGAGGGGGGTGTTGTCGTCTGGGCGGCCCAGGACCTCCACGCACACTGCCCAGGCCTGCACCCCAGGGAGGTCACTTAGGTGTTGCTAATGCAGTGGTTTGGCATCACCCCAATAATAATAATAATAATAAATTTTATTTATACCCTGTCCTCCCTGACCAGAGTCGGGCTCGGGGCGGCTAACACCAGTAAAATCACAATAAAAACATAATAGGAAAAAACAAACCAATTTAAAATACAGGTTAAAATGCAATTTAAAATGCAGCCTCATTTTAAATGCAGCCCATAGATCAAAACCATAAGGGGAGGGAAACATAAGGGTCAGACTGAGTCCAAACCAAAGGCCAGGCGGAACAGCTCTGTCTTGCAGGCCCTGTGGAAAGATGTCAAGTCCCGCAGGGCCCTAGTCTCTTGTGACAGAGCGTTCCACCAAGTCGGGGCCAGTGCTGAGAAGGCCCTGGCCCTAGTTGAGACCCATCTAACCGCCTTGCGACTTGGGACCTCCAAAATGTTGTCATTTGCGGACCTTAAGGTCCTCCGCGGGGCATACCAGGCGGTCCTGTAGGTACGAGGGTCCTAGGCCACATAGGGCTTTAAAGGTCAAAACCAGCACCTTAAACCTGACCCTGTACTCCACCGGGAGCCAGTGCAGTTGGTAAAGCACTGGATGAATGTGATCCCAAGGCAAGGACCCCGTAAGGAGCCTCGCCGTGGCATTCTGCACCTGCTGGAGTTTCTGGGTCAGCTTCAAGGGCAGCCCCGCGTAGAGTGAATTACAATAATCAAGCCTGGAGGTGACCGTCGCATGGATCACTGTGGCCAAGAGGTGCACTCCATTGTGTCTCGAGACAGACAAGATGCCAGCAACAACATAGCACACCCATTGCATGCAGCAAAGGTGGCCTAAGGGTGCCTTCAGACCACCGTTCTTTTGCGGGACGGATTCAAGAGCATACCAGAACTTTAGGTTTCCTCGGTTAAAATGGGCAGAACGGCTCTGTTGCCCTGACATAACAAATCCATGTTAAAAAGAAGAGGAATCGTAACTCGCTGTGCTTTGGAAAGCGATGGGAGAAACAAAAGCACCAGCAAGTGTGTGAGATGAGCGAATGACTAACGGGAAGATGAAGAAACACCCCACAAGCAAATCTGGATGAATACAGGGCGGGAAGGCTGGTGCTTGTATAACCGCCTTGTAAACAAATCAGAACAAGCGGATATAATCTAACCTCCATGCCAGATTTCTGCATAAATAGGTCATCTGGAAGAGCCCTGTCAGGGTAGACAATAGGGAGCTAGATGGACCGATTCAGTACAGTGGTACCTCGGGTTACAGACGCTTCAGGTTACAGACTCCACTAATCCAGAAACAGTACCTCAGGTTAAGAACTTTGCTTCAGGATGAGAACAGAAATCGTGCTCCAGCGGGGCGGCAGCAGCAGGAGGCCCCATTAGCTAAAGTGGTGCTTCAGGTTAAGAACAGTTTCAGGTTAAGAACGGACCTCCGGAACGAATTAAGTACTTAACCTGAGGTACCACTGTATAAGGCAGCTTGCAGCGCATGCCCACCCCAATACCTTTTGCCCAAATAGCCTAATAATGTCATCCTCAGCATCAGGGGTTACTTCACTTTCTCATCTTCCACTGCAGTAATAAGTCATTGTTTTGCATCCTAGAGAGGACAGACAGGTCAGGACCTGTGCGCAAAGGACAAACGGACACAGATCGGACATCCGAAACGGCAACATTTGAAAGCCAATGCAGGAAGGGGGCATTTCGGCCGCACGAAATGTTCTGCAACTGATCCACTGGGAAGACCTGAGCAAAGGTGCATCGCAGGGAAAACTGCAATGGGAAATCACTGAACTACAGTTCATCAATGCTCACCCACGTGGACAGTGCGTTTTTTTAACACGCGAAATGCGTTAATTGCCAATGCTGGGCTGTCAGCGTTACCAACAACTGTCTTGTTCATTACTGACAGGGAGACAAACAGAAGAAGACGCCTTTACCCCGGTATGGCTCCCCTTTATCACATATACAGCCCAACAAGACAGTGACAAAAATCCACCAACAGCATACCAATCAATAAGGCTAACCTGATCCAAAACACCCACCCACCCCACTCACACACGAAAACAAAGATCACCACAGCCAATCACAAACAAACAACCACACCCTAGGCCAGCCCCAACCTCTCTCACCACCAAAGGAACACAAGTGAACAGCACATGCAACGCTGACACCAAACCCTACATACATTAAGCAAAATAGAAATATTGCCACCAGACCCCCCCCATCTCCCCCCCTTCCTCCCCCAATGTCTCAACAAATGAAACTGATTTGTAAAAATGTAACATGGAAAAAATACGAGAGACATTACACATACTTCTGTAAAACAAGAAAACCTTTAATTAAAAAACAAACCAACCAACGACCGTCTTGGAAATTTCCGCTATCAGCCGCATAGTTATCACTGCCTCCGAACGTTATTGGTTTCATTTGCCTCTGATCTCGCTGCGGACCATGCCCACAGCATCACAAACCCAAGTGCGCCTATGTACCTGCCGCTCAGGTTAATTCAGCATGGGTGGTGGACGGAAAGCAGACCGTAGTTCCCCAAACTTTATGCCATAATAAACTGGTTAATCTTCAAGGCGCCACGAGGCTCGGTTGGTTTTACTAACTGGAAAATGTTTTGCAAGGTTCCTGGTGATTCCTGAACTGCAGAGGGATGGACTAGATGACTGGCGGTGTCTTTCCCAATGCATTCTGTGAAATCTCCAAACAGAGACCAGAGTGGGATGAAGCTATATCCCTGGCAATAATAGTTCTATTCACACTGCTTCTGGCTCTCTGGGAGGGAAACAAGACAATCAAAATCCCCTTCTTTCCCCAAACCCTCCTGTCTCTGCCTCCAGTAGATGACCTGACCAGTAGGAATGTAGCCCTGGCAGGGTGCAAACATTCAGATCTTTTATTACTCAGATCAGATTCATGTCAGCCTCGTTGACTAAGGGGAGTGAGCAGCGCCGCAAGTAGCCGTTTCACTCACACCTGCCACAGAGATAAATCCTTATTTGGACCAGTCATTGATACTTGACGGACGGAAAAGGATGTTGATTTTAGAGAAGAGAAACAGGAGACTCACTGCAGCGTTTTTTCGGCATTGCAAATGTTTTTTAAGCACTCGACGAGAATTAATTTTCCAGAAGAAAGGATTTCCCCCAGGGCATGTTTCAGCAGAAGTATTTTCCTCTCTCCAGTTTTTCTGCAGAATTTGGTGTGTGCAGAAAATCCCCCTGTGTCCTCACCAAAAATGTGTAGTGAAATTGTTCTAAGTTAGCAGAGAGGACACAAATAGCTGTCTACTCATATGAGGAGGGTCTCCTTCTGAGATATATAGATCCCAGGCACTGAGGGGCTTTTAAATCTGCAGGTGGCATTCACAGAATCATAGAATCGGAGAGTTGGAAGGAACCTCTAATTCAACCGCCTGCAGTGCAGGAATTCAACTCAGAGTTTTGCTTCAGAGAAGACCTATTGAAATCAATGGGTCTGATTTCAATTTATTGGTCAGTTTACTCTTAGCAGCTGGATAAAAGTTTTCTCCCTCATAACACTAGAATTTGTGGACATTCAGTGATGATGGAAGATTCAGGAAAGATAAAATAAACAACTTCTTCATGCAGAGCATAGTTATAACCTATGGAACTCTCTCCCACAAGGGACACTGATGGCCACCAACCTAAATTGATGGCGTACACACCTGCCACTTTGTGCCGTAATAAATTGGTTAATCTTCAGGGTGCCGCAAGGCTTGGCTGATTTTACTAAGAAGGCTACCCTTCTGGGAAATATTTTGCAAGGTTCACAAAGAATTATAAAAGCAGGGGGCTGGACTAGATGACCCGTGGGGTCCCTTTCCAATTCTATGATTCCATCTCTGCAAGGAAACGCAGGCTGAAGCCAGCAGATTTTCAGAAAACAATCGCGCAGAGCATTTTAAAACTCCCAGGAAACCTTCAAAGAAAGTGCAGGGCTTTTTCTGCGAAGAATGCAAAATAATAATAATATATTATTATTATTTATACCCTGCCCATCTGGCTGGGTTTCCCCAGCCACTCTGGGCGGCTTCCAATAAAAAATTAAGTGCAAGTGTTCTGCAAAGCGGTATGCCACCTTCCCTGCTACATGCAGCCTTGTTTGCAAAGAAGAAGAAAAAGACGAAGAAATCCTGTAAGTTGAAAGCCCTGCTTTTCATCTACCCAACCCCAGCACTGAGGGTTCTAGAGCTTCCTGCCATAAAACCACAATCTGAGAGAACAAACAAGTCAAAACCAGGGCAAAGATCCTCTCACACCAAGCCATGTGTCTTGATTATCCAAAAGCGAGTCTATCCTGAAACTTTAATTACCCCCGTTAAAATCAGGGTGAAGAGGGGATGGAGATGGCCCCAGGATGGTGGGTGCAAGCTTAAAGTCTAGGCAGCGGGGAAGAAGCAATCAAGATTGCCGCAGGCGAAGCACCCTTCGTCTTAACCGAAAAAGACCCACAACAGCAACCCACCGAAGAGTTACGTTCCTCTGTGAATTTAGAGCAGCAGTCTGGATCACCATACTAATTTGCAGATTCATAATTTCTGTGCGCATACTACTTTATTTGTCTCCATCTCACTACATTATCATTTATTCAATTTATATACCGCCCTTTATCAAAAGATCCCAGGGCTGATTAAAAACACAATACAGAACATGAATGATGAAAATATATTACGTTACATTGAGCATGAATTAGGACATCAATCTGTTGTCACTTTAGGGAACATTTGCAATTTGGCTTGTGCTTTCTTTTCTACGACTAGGCAAGATTTCCTGGAGATTTAGCTGAGATTCCTGCATTGCAGGGGGTTGCACCCTCAAGATCCCTTCCAACTCTAGGATCCTACGATGCCTGTTTGCTGAGCTTCTTGTAGTATCGGCAATGCTGTAGAAATGAATGAAAACTACTTAGCTCATGCCCAGGGAAACTCTTTTCTATCATTACTTCACATATTCCAACCTCCCAGCATCCAAACTGTGTCCTGGGTTATGTTTCAGGGGAAGCACCCAGGATCCAAATTTTTTCAGTGAACAGCGAAATCCTTTGAACATTTATTTGGAAGTTAAAGCCCACTGGCAGACTTAAAAGGTAAAGGTAAAGGGACCCCTGACCATCAGAACCTTCTGATTGGCAAGTCCTAGGCTCTGTGGTTTAACCCACAGCGCCACCCGCATCTAGTAAAGGTAAAGGGACCCCTGACCATTAGGTCCAATCGCGTATGACTCTGGGGTTGCGGCGCTCAGCTCGCTTTATTGGCCGAGGGAGCCGGAGTACAGCTTCTGGGTCATGTGGCCAGCATGACTAAGCCGCTTCTGGCAAACCAGAGCAGCGCATGGAAACGCCGTTTACCTTCCCGCCGGAGTGGTACCTATTTATCTACTTGCACGTTGATATGCTTTCGAACTGCTAGGTTGGCAGGAGCAGGGACCGAGCAACGGGAGCTCACCCCGTCGCGGGGATTCGAACCGCCGATCTTCTGATCGGCAAGTCCTAGGCTCTGTGGTTTAACCCACAGCGCCACCCGCGTCTACTCCCAGGTAAATTCAGTTTTAGAATTCCGATGCAGCCGTATCTCTCTTGTCTGGTCTGATTACCTGCCGAGCGTCCCTCTACCTGCCGTAACAAATAACAAAACAGGCTTATGGGAACAGGTGCGCATGCAGAAACACAAAGCCCGCTGCTAATTTTACCTGTATTAATAGCACAGTTATTAATAACTACAGTTCTTATACTTGGCTGTTTTGCAGACCTGGCTTAGCCAGAGGCGGCCGAGTCCCAAAAGAAATCTGCCCTTGTGTTGACTATAATCAAACTCATTTCTAAGTTGACAGCCTCTAATCTAAATAGCGGCAAGGCCAAAAAATGTGCCACCTCCTCACGACCTTTCTAGCCGCCATAGGCAGGAGAGGAAATGAGACCCAAACCCCTCATAGAAGGTAGTTTCGTTCACATGCGGTGGTCATGTGATAAGGTAAAAACATATTGGGGAAACATATATAATGAATTAAAGAAGATATTTAGATATACGTTTTTGAAAAAGCCAGAGGCATTCTTTTTGGGAATGGTAGGAGAAGACATTACTAAGAATGACCAGAAAGTGTTCTTATATGCAACAACAGCGGCAAGGTTCTTGTTAGCCCAGGTTTGGAAACAGCAGCAATTAACGCTAGTGGGGTTTCAAGATGCACTGTAAAATTTTAAGAGGTATTGCTGAAAGTAAATAGAAAAGGAAGGGAAGATAAATGGCAATGCAATTAAAGGAATGCGTACTGAAGGGTAAAAATGGACGATTACCAGAGAAGTTGAAGGAAGTCCAAAATGTGTATTTTGTTAAAATCAGGTAAAATTTGGATAAAATTGTATGATTATATTGAAAACTAATAAAAATTTATTTTTTTACAAAAGGAAACAGCAGCAATTACCAACGGCAGAAGAATGGCGACAGAAGGTAATGGAATATGCAGAAACAGCTAGATTAACGGGGGAAATTCGACAACAGGGCGATGAAACATTTCAAAAAGAATGGGAAAAATTTATGTCATAGATAGGAAGGATAAGGTGAACTAGTGAAACCAGTAGAACCGAAATAAACCTCATAATGGGAAATACAAAGAAAATTTCTGGATAAAGAAAATAATAAAAAGTAAAATGTATGACATGATTAATCTAACCAATGGTAGTTGTAAATGAATACAGTCATACCTCGGGTTGAAGTAGCTTCGGGATAAGTATTTTCGGGTTGCGAGCTGCGGCGATCTGGAAGTAATGGAGCGTGTTACTTCCAGGTTTCGCCGCTCACAGATGCGTAGACGGTCAAAATGACGTCACACGCATGTGCGGAAGCGGTGAATCGCGACCTGCAGACGTGGGTTGCGTTCGTTTCTGGATGCGAACAGAGCTCCGGAACGGATCTTGTTCACATCCAGAGGTACCACTGTACAGACAGACAATAAGAATTGCATATACAGGAGGATTTATTTCGCTATAGACACTCTACGGACAAATACGAAAGAAGAACAAGAATATACAAAATGGATGAAGACAATGCGAAAAATTTAGATGTGATATAAAAATCCAGAAGGAAGGAAGGAAGGAAGGAAGGAAGTCAGCTCTTAGGAGTAAATATAAATGTAAAATGTAATACAATATGTGTATGTGGAGTATGTAAATGAAAATCAATAAAGAATATTATGGAAAAGGCAGGAGAGGAAGGGAAGCTAAGGACGGATGAACTTCATCATTCATTCGTTGACATTTGTATCCTGCATTTCCTATGATGGTTATGATCCTGCCCTTCACAGAGGATGCCCTACTGACTCTCCTTCCCAAGCATTTGTGAGAATTCAAACATCCCCACTTCTGTTGAGATACTTTCTTTCGCTCTGAAAGAGCTTGTGGGAGGGAGCAGCTTGCATTTTTCCAATTAACGTGCCCCCCCATAGGCCTGACGGTGCCTTCTTGTTCTGAGCTTAAGGTAAAGGTAAAGGGACCCCTGACCATTAGGTCCAGTCATGGCCGACTCTGGGGTTGCGGCGCTCATCTCGCTTTATTGGCCAAGGGAGCCGGCGTACAGCTTCCGGGTCATGTGGCCAGCATGACTAAGCCGCTTCTCTCGAACCAGAGCAGCGCACGGAAACGCTGTTTACCTTCCCGCTGGAGCGGTGCCTATTTATCTACTTGCACTTTGATGTGCTTTCGAACTGCTAGGTTGGCAGGAGCAGGGACCGAGCAATGGGAGCTCACCCCGTCGCGGGGATTCGAACCGCCAACCTTCTGATCGGCAAGTCCTAGGCTCTGTGGTTTAACCCACAGCGCCACCCGCGTCCCTCTGAGCTTAGCGGCACAACAAACCCTGAAACAGATCCACCTGCAATTCAACCCTCCCTTCTTCCCTTGCCCACCAGAAGCCAGCCTCTCCCAAGCCCCTTAATTCTGCCGCTCATGGTGCGTTCCTGGGACGGCAGGAGCGTTTGAAAAGCTTGTTGAAAGGAGGGGGGAAAGAAGGAAGAAATGCAAGTCACTTCCAACACCCACCCATGATTATCAAGGGCAGAGGTAAGCTGTGTTTGCCGTGGCAGGGCGCCCAGCATTCTTCCGCAACACCTGCGGACTCCGCTTCGGATGGCTCAATGTTGCCGCGCTGGCAGTCAAAAGTGACAAGGCAAAAAAATCTGGATTTGCCCAGGAAGGGCATTCGAGAGCCCTGCAGAATATCTCAGCTGGTAGAACACAAGGCTCTTGATCTTAGGGTGGTAGGTTTGAGCCCCAAGTTGGGCAGAGGATTCCTGAACTGGGTCCCTTCCAACTCTAGAATTCTATTATTTATTATTCTTTGACAGTAGGGCCAATTGTGGGGGCTTTGTGATCTTTATGCCTTCTTCTCTCTTTCTCCAAAGGATGGGACAGCAATTTGACTCCTTTCACATTCAAAGATGAGCCGACCGAAACCACACTCAAACTGAAACACAAGTTGGTCTTCATGTCAGGCCACTTTCACACCATGCATAAAAGCACTGTTAACAGTCATGTCTCTCCATCCCCCCCAAAAAAAAGAATTATGGGAGTTGTAGTTTGCTAAGGGTGCTGAGAAGTGTAAGGAGGCCCCCTATCTTACCCCAAGCTACAATTCCCAAAACTCCCTGGGTAAGGGGGTTGGCTGTTAAAACCACTCTGGGACTGTGCCAGCTGCAGCTTTTGGGAGTTGTAGCACAGAACACATGGAAGATAGGCAAAATCTGCCATAGGCTTGGCCAGTAACCAAGGAGTTGGGCGTCCAAGTCCAGCACTCCAGCTGCTCCCATCGCAAGGACGGATTATTCCTTGCTAGGGAGGAAACGGGATCTGGGTCTGCTCTCCCCTGGCAGAACAGATTATCACCGGGGGGGGGGCGGTGCAGAAATTGGAGAGCGAGGGAGCAGCGCTCTGTTTCCTCCCTCAATCATAGCACACACATCCATAGCAGTTCCTTTGCCCTACTGAATTTTATTTGCAACTTTCAGTTCCATATGCCTGAACGTCGGCTGCTGGGCAGCAACTGCTTCTGGGCTCAGGAATATAGGAAGCGGACTTAAACCAGCAATTTCCTTTTTCTAGCCGCCACCCGCTTGGTTCCATAAACCCATCCCCAGTGCCCCCTACCCTATAAAAAGCTCAGTGCCCAGAGATCTGCACTGGTTACCAATCTGCTCCCAGGCAAAGTTCGAGGTGTTTGGCGCTGGATTTAGGGAGATCCAGGGAATTCCGGCTGCACAAAGCACTTTGGAACTCACTTCCGATTGAGACCAAGCAGGTGCCTTCACTGTACTCTGATCAGGGCCGGCTAAAAGCATTCTTGTTGAGACAAGCCGACCCAGACGGTTAGGATTAAAGTTTCAGTGCTTTAACTTTGTATGTTTCAAAGTAGGGTCATGAATTTTTCTTGATGTTACTGTCTTCTCGTAAACTGCTTTGAGGCTTTTATGCAATCAAGCAGTGTGTAAATTTTATGCGATAAATAAATAAAATTAAAAGCACCATTCAGACTAGCGGTTCCACAGCCCACTAAGGAAGAGGACACAGTAAAATTCAAAAAGGACCAGTTAATTCGAAATCCAGTTAAAACTATTTCGTTTAATTAATTCAAAGAAATGGGTGGACTTTAGCCAGAGATGCCAGGTTTTCAAAGGTAAAAAAAGGTAAAGGACCCCTGGATGGTTAAGTCCAGTCAAAGGTGACTATGGGGTTGCACGCTCATCTTGCTTTATTGGCCGAGGGAGCCGGCGTACAGCTTCCGGGTCATGTGGCCAGCATGACTAAGCCGCTTCTGGCGAACCAGAGCAGCGCACGGAAACATCGTTTACCTTCCCACTGGAGCGGTGCCTATTTATCTACTTGCACTTTGATGTGCTTTCAAACTGCTAGGTGGGCAGGAGCTGGGACAGAGCAACAGGAGCTCTCCCCGTCACATGGATTCAAACCGCGACCTTCTGATCGGAAAGCCCTAGGCTCTGTGGTTTAGACCACAGCACCACCCGCGTCCTTCATCCAGGAGGTGGTACCTTATACCAAATATCAGAAGATTTGGTCTGCCTTGCTCCATACTGCCAACAAGGGCTGGCAGCAGCTCTCCAAGGGTTTCAGGAAGGGGGTCTTTTCCAGCCCGGGCTGCAGACACCCACAATTGAGCCTGGGAACTTTTGCATGCAAAGAATGTGCTTAATCACTGCCTGAGCTATCGCCCTTCCCGCAAGACTCCCCAAAGACATCTGCCTGGCCACCGTGGGAACAAGCTCTCTCATGCTGAAGAATTCTCTTGCAAGCAGCTGGAAGTGGATGTTCACAGGTGCCAGAACAACTTCGGTCAACAAAGCAGCCACACTGGAAAGCTTTCTGATTAGCTGCCGCCAAGGTCATTTGCGGCATGCAAAGCACAACACAGCGAGAAGGCAGGCTTGAAGGTGTTCACACAACAGCTTTGTGGTGACTTCTCCTGCTTGGGTGCTCCTAGCAGCAGCAGCAGAGAGCCTGCAGGTGTGTTTTCTTGACAGGTCAGGCGAGAGCTGCATGCAAATCGAGCCAAATGGTCCAGAGCAGCCAATGGCACCGTAAACCTAAGTTGCGGTCGCCACCATGGAAATGTTTAGGTGCTGTTTTTTGTTTTGCAATGGAATTCATCACTATTGCTGTTCATTTCATTTCTATAGTGCTTTGTATTGTAAAGAACAAATCTTAAATCTGTTTAAAGGTAAAGGTAAAGGGACCCCTGACCATTAGGTCCAGTTGTGGCCAACTCTGGGGTTGCGGCGCTCAGCTCGCTTTATTGGCCGAGGGAGCCGGCGTACAGCTTCCGGGTCATGTGGCCAGCATGACTAAGCCGCTTCTGGCGAACCAGAGCAGCACACAGAACCGCCAGAAGGCCCTCGGAGCTGGACCTCAGTGTCCGGGCAGAACGATGGAGGTGGAGACGCTCCTTCAGGTATACTGGGCCGAGGCCGTTTAGGGCTTTAAAGGTCAGCACCAACACTTTGAATTGTGCTCGGAAACGTACTGGGAGCCAGTGTAGGTCTTTCAGGACCGGTGTTATGTGGTCTCAGCGGCCGCTTCCAGTCACCAGTCTAGCTGCTGTATTCTGGATTAGTTGTAGTTTCTGGGTCACCTTCAAAGGTAGCCCCACGTAGAGCGCATTGCAGTAGTCCAAGCGAAAGATAACCAGAGCATGCACCACTCTGGCGAGACAGTCTGCGGGCAGGTAGGGTCTCAGCCTGCGTACCAGGTGGAGCTGGTAGACAACTGCCCTGGACACAGAACTGACCTGCGCCTCCATGGACAGCTGTGAGGAGGAAGAGGAGGTGTCAGAAGCTGAAGAGGTAACAGGGCTTAGTGAGCTGGGAGAGTGTGTGGCAGAGAAGCTGAAGCAGGAGAGGAGAGAGGCCAAGAGGCAGAGAGGAGTCTGACTGGTGAAGAGTCACAGGTGTGTCCCCCTCTTGATGCAACAAGCTGCCCTCCACGCAGGTCTCCCAGAACCAGAAGAGGCATGAAAAGGGCGGAGGAGAGGTTGGCTGCACGCAGGCAAGGTCTCCGATTGCTTGAGGAAAACAATGGAGAGGAGGGGACTTAGATGGCTGTGGGCCGTCTGATCCATGGAGGCAAGACCTATCAGCTCATTAGACCTGACACTCCGCCAAGTCTGTGCAGATCCTCTTCTTGCAAACAAAGAGTTAACACCAACTTGCACGGTGTGATTTACTGCCGGCTCGCTCCTCACAGAGGCCCACTGTGCAAAGGTAAAAGGTGCATTTGTCGCTCGGCCCAGTTTGGCCTCCGGTCCTGCCCAGTACAGTGGTACCTCAGGTTACATACGCTTCAGGTTACAGACTCCGCCAACCCAGAAATAGTGCTTCAGGTTAAGAACTTTGCTTCAGGATGAGAACAGAAATCGTGCTCCGGCAGCGCAGCATCAGCAGGAGGCCCCATTAGCTAAAGTGGTGCTTCAGGTTAAGAACAGTTTCAGGTTAAGAACGGACCTCCGGAACGAACTAAGTACTTAACCCGAGGTACCACTGTACTGGCATGCGGTCCTCAGAAGACAATGTGGAGCTAAAAAGGACTCCTCAACCCTGCAGTGTGGGGAGAGGTGCAGTGTGGGGAGAGGTGCAGGGTTAGGCCAGGTGCCTTTTCTGCCACGCTGATACTTTGCATGCCAAGCTCAGGAAAGGTCAACCTGCCAGGAATGTGGCTTTTCCGCCCACCTTCGTTTCAGCCCAAATTTTGTACGAGCTGCCACCTCGGCGGCTACGAAGCCATTCACCTTGCAAAAAAACGGATAAAGAAAAGAAGAAAACATGCTGATTCACTGCTATGCCAGTGGGCAGAATTTCACAAGCAACAGGCGTCACACCCCTCTGTTTGCCTTGCCGGGATGGAAAGGGCACAGGCAGGTGAAAGGCAGTAGGAGGGAGGGAGCGCTTAACCCTTTGCCCACCGGCTCCTTCTCCCCAGCAGCCTCCCTGGCTGCTTTCCCTCTTCCCCCAAGCTGCCTCTTAAGACTGGAAATAAGCAAGGGAGGAGATTGTCGGGATGAAGAGAGAAGCGGCAAGGGTGGGAATGCATAAGGATCATCCTTCTCACCTGCAGAATTGCCCCTGCAGTTGCCCTCAAAGTTACAGTTAACAAGGAAACGCGTTTTTGCTGAAAAGTGAGATACAGCTCCGTCCAAAAATAGTTGTGCAAACTGAACAGAACGGCTGCTTTCCTCGTCATCAAAAAGGCATAAAGCGGAGCAGAGGATAGTGTTTGCTGCACAGGGTAAAACGTTTTTTTGAAACGCTGACACGGCAAAACAGTTGGTAAATTTGTCGGTGTTAGGTGGTCTCAATCCCGCCCCTCCCCATCGAAAGTTCAGTTCTCTACATCGATTTGCGATTCATCAGCATTTTCTCCTAATATACTCGTCTTTGAATACAACTTCGCCTAATACGGACATCGTTTTTTTTTTTGCAAAGAACGGTCCCTGATATAATGCACGCTTTTAAATGTTGACGAGCTGTAAGCAGCGGCAGAGGAAGCCGTGCGGGCGCATGGCGGTGCGCCCAGGGTCGGGGAGAGCTGCCCATAGGGGCGGGGTGCACCTTGGGGCCTCCAAAGCCTGCCTGCCTCCTCCCACTCAGCCGCCCTACAGCTGGGGGGAGACAGTGGGTGGACCGTTTGGGCAGCATAGAGCCTGAGTGCGCCCAAGCCACTGTGTCTCTCCCAGGAGAAGAAGAAGAAGAAGAGGAGGAGTTTGGATTTGATATCCCGCCTTTCACTCCCTTTAAGGAGTCTCAAAGCGGCTAACATTCTCCTTTCCCTTCCTCCCCCACAGCAAACACTCTGTGGGGTGAGTGGGGCTGAGAGACTTCAAAGAAGTGTGACTGGCCCAAGGTTACCCAGCAGCTGCATGTGGAGGAGCAGAGACACGAACCTGGTCCCCCAGATTACGAGACTACCACTCTTAACCACTACACCATACTGGCTCTCAGTATGAGAGACGTGTGGCTCGGGTGCACTGCAGGCCCTGCGGTGAGTGCTGCCTGGCATTTTGCCACCCCCCTCAGTGGTGACACCCAGGGTGGCCCGCACCTGCCGCACCCCCTTTCCTCCACCCCTGGCTGGAAGGTGTGCAGAGGAGGGCAACCAAGATGATCAAGGGTCCGGAAACTAAGCCGCATGAGGAACGGTCGAAGGAGCTGGGTATGCTTAGCCTGGAAAAGAGGAGACTGAAAGATGTGATAGCCATCTTCAGATGGGCGGTCACATGGAAGAGGGAATGGGCTTGTTTCCTGCTATTCTGAAGGGGAACTCAAACCAATGCATTCACACTACAAGAAAGGACATCAGGAAGAACTTTCTGACAGTATGACAGTGGAAAGGTCCCCCTTAGGAGGTTGTGGACTCTCCTTCCTTACAGGTTTTTAAGCAGAGGTTTGATGGCCATCTGTCAAGGATGCTTCATCTGCGACTCCTGCATTGCTGAGGGTTGGACTAGATAACCCTCAGGGCCCCTTCCAACTCTACAATTCTATGATTCCAAATGCTGCTTTTGATGATACATGCATTTTTAGGCACGCTTTACCACAGTACAGTGGTACCTCGGGTGACATACGCTTCAGGTTACAGACTCTTCAGGTTACAGACTCTGCTAACCCAGAAATAGTGCTTCAGGTTAAGAACTTTGCTTAAGGATAAAAACAGAAATCGTGCTCTGGCAGTGCGGCAGCAGCAGGAGGCCCCATTAGCTAAAGTGGTGCTTCAGGTTAAGAACAGTTTCAGGTTAAGAACAGACCTCCGGAACTAATTAAGTATTTAACCCGAAGTACCACTGTATATGCATGTTTGCTTGTTTGCTTGTTTCTCATTACAGTGGTACCTCTGGATGTGAACGGGATCCGTTCTGGAGCCCCGTTCGCATCCTGAAGCGAACACAACCCGCATCTGCACATGTCACGATTCGCCGTGTCTGCACCTGACATCATTTTTAGCGGCTGCGCATGCGCAAGCAGCAAAACCCAGAAGTAACGTGTTCCGTTACTTCTGGGTCGCCATGGAGCACAACCCGAAAACACTCAACCCGTAGCTCCTTTAACCCGAGGTATGACTGTACTCATCCAGAGAACTGCGTTGCAAAAAAATAATTCAGAGAAATTTGAAGAATGGTGGTGCTTTGTCCCACATGCTGCTTTAGAAAGCGTGAGTCAGGTGGGCTCACCTTTAAATGGTATTTCTGCCCCATCTCTAGGGGAGGGGGAAAAAACACTTGAGCATCAGATTCCACTTTTGTAGGGCAGGGTGTGGACCTAATTTCAAGCCTGGCTTTGAGCGGGTCACGCCTGCACTTCTTCCGCAATTCCTTCTTTCCCGCCACTGCCTCCTGCCCACGCAACTGCCTCTCTGCTTCTCCCCGCTTGCAATTAACGTGCCCTGGAGTATTCGCTGTGTCCTTGGACAAAAGCCCTGACTGTGTGGGCCAGAGATGGAGACGGCTGGCGGGCGCCTCTCTCTGCCCCAGCTCCACCAATGCCCTCTGGCCTGCTCCTCCCTTGGCCACGCCAATCCTGGAACTCCCACAACCAGCCACGGCTGCCAATTGTGGCAAAGTTGCCGAGCGTTGGCTGATGTGATCAATTATCTACCAAGGGATTAGGGTGGGACGAGCCACTTCAGAGCCGGAGTCTCGTGGAATGCCAGGTCTTTGCCAAGCAGGAAGAGGAAGTCCTGAATTCTGGCAGCTACATGCTGTGGAAATCTACTAGGAAAAGAAAGAACCCAACGCTCCTCCCTCGGCCCCTTCCAACTCTACAATTCTATGGTTCTATGACTTCCAACGGGACGCAGGTGGCCCTGTGGTCTAAACCACTGAGCCTCTTGGGCTTGCCGATGGGAAGGTCGGCGGTTCGAATCCCCGCGATGGGGTGAGCTTCCGTTGCTCGGTCCCAGCTCCTGCCAGCCTAGCAGTTCGAAAGCACACCAGTGCAAGTAGATAAATAGGTACTACTCTGGCGGGGAGGTAAACGGCGTTTCCGTGTGCTGCTCTGGTTCGCCAGAAGCGGCTTAGTCATGCCGGCTACACGACTCGGAAAAACTATCTGTGGACAAACGTCGGCTCCCTCAGCCAGTAAAGTGAGAGGAACGTCACAACCCCAGAGTCGTTCGCAACTGGACTTAACTGTCAGGGGTCCTTTACTTTTATGACTTCCAACATGCGCACTGAGGGGAGTATATGGTAAAGTGGCTCATAAATGTCTTACAGTGCTACCTCAGGTTACAGACGCTTCAGGTTACAGACTCCGCTAACCCAGAAATAGTACCTTGGGTTAAGAACATTGCTTCAGGATGAGAACAGAAATCGGGCGGCAGCGGCGCGGCAGCAGTGGGAGGCCCCATTAGCTAAAGTGGTACCTCAGGTTAAGGACAGTTTCAGGTTAAGAACGGACCTCCAGAATTAATTAAGTTCTTAACCCGAGGTACCACTGTACAACAGATCCAAAGCAACTCCTGGAATCTGTAAAAATATCAGGATTTAGACCTACTCTAACAGTACATGTGAAAAGGATCTAAGGGTCTTGGTGGACCACACGCTTATGAAGTGTCAAGCAGGTGATGCAGCAGCAACAACAAAAAACAACAACGCTAATGCTATTCTAGGCTGCATCAACAGAAGTCTAGTGTCCAAATCAGGGAAAGTACTAGCACTACTCTGTTCTGCCAATTCTGTGTCCAATTCTGAGCAACAAAATTAGGAAGGATGTTGACAAGCTGGAGGGTGTGCAGAGGAGGGCAACCAAGATGATCAAAGGTCTGGTTACCAAGCCTTATGGGAAAGGTTGAAGGAGCTGGGTATGTTTAACCTGGAAAAGAGGAGGCGGAGAGGAGATAAGATAGCCATCTTCAAATATTTCAAGGGCTGTCACATGGAGGATGGAGCAAGCTTGTTTTCTCCTGCTCTGGAGAGTAGGACCTGAACCCATGGCTTCAAGTTACAAGCAAAGAAGATTCCGACTTAAACATCAGGAAGAACTTTCTGACAGTAAGAGCTGTTTAACACTGGAACGTTCTCCCTTGGGAAGTTGTGGACTCTCCTCCCTTGCAGGTTTTTAAGCAGAGGTTGGATGGCCATCTGTCATGGATGCTTTAGTAGGTGTGGCCTGACCAAGGCAGCTGTATTCACACAAGATCTGGAGAACCTCAGGTTCCGCACTCCTGCAGGAGGAAATCACACACTGATCCCTGGTTACCTGGGAGTAAGCCCCATTGCATTCAACGAGGCTTGCTTTTGAGTAGTTATGTAAAGAGATGCACCATTATAATCATAGAACTGCAGAGTTGTAAGGGACCACGAGAATCATCTAGTTTAACCCCCTCGCCAAAGAATTGATGCTTTTGAATTCTGGTGCTGGAGGAGACTCTTGAGAGTCCCATGGACTGTAAGAAGATCAAACCTCTCCATTCTGAAGGAAATCAGCCCTGAGTGATCACTGGAAGGACAGATCCTGAAGCTGAGGCTCCAAGACTTTGGCCACCTCCTGAGAAGAGAAGACTCCCTGGAAAAGACCCTGATGATGGGAAAGATGGAGAGCACAAAGAGAAGGGGACAGCAGAGGACGAGATGGTGGGACAGTGTTCTCGAAGCTACCAGCATGAGTTTGACGAAACTGCAGGAGGCAGTGGAAGACAGGAGTGCCTGGTGTGCTCTGGTCCATGGGGTCACGAAGAGTCGGACACGACTAAACGACTCAACAACAACAACAATCTTCTGCCCAACGTGGAGCTCAAACTCACAACCCTGAGATTAAGTCTCGTGGTATCTTTGCCCCTCATCCTTCTTTGTTTTGTTTCTCTTCTCATTTTAAATTGAGCTCTGCAGCCGTGAGACCTGCAAACAGAACCGTCTTTCCCCCATGTAAACCGAAGCCACGTTTTTTAGTACGAATGTTCACGTTGCACCCATGTGCTGAGGAGACCCGCTGGATAAAGGCTGCAAGTTCTGACCCCCTTCCCAGTGCAAAGGACGTTTCATATCCCCCATGAAATGAGTGCAACAAGCAATTAGCCACAACACGCCTCATTAATTCCAATGAAACTTCAGCACGACTTCCGCTCCGCTGTGCCCTTCGGATATATAGCTAGCCTTTCTGAACGTATGTTATTTGCGGTACACAAAAGAGCAGCGATCAGCCGAGTTGAGAAGAGACAAACAAGCAGGATGTCATGTCTCCTAAACGAATTCCTGCAAACCTGCTGGGGCAGAACCAGAGTCAATTCTCCAGCCTCTTTCAGCTGACTGGCCAAATGGAAGAGAAGCAAGGAGACCGCACCCAAAACTAAGCTGTGGGATGAAAATCTTAGCTTCTGGCCATTTATTTAATACTCCAAAGCCCAGGAACTGATAAAAAAAAAACCCCACCAGCGGATGGTTATAGTAACAAGGAGCAACAAGCATGACTCTTTTTTTTAATGTGGTTTATCGGCCTAATCTTGGTCTTACGAGAAGAACACATGAACATTCCTAACGCAATTCTTCCACGCCTTCTTTTTCTGTAGCTAGCGCAGCTGAGGAATCGGTTAGGATTAATCGCCGAAAAAGCCTTTGGATCAATCGCAAGGGCGCTGCAATGATTTGGTCGGAGAACTGTTCTGAAGTATTATTATTATTATTTTACATATAACTTCTAGAGGGTTTCTGTTAGGTCTGTTGCGGGGGGAAACCAAGGCTACAAAACTTGTCCAAACCTTTCGCTCTAAGAAACTGGTATCTATGTCATGTTGATCCCTGAAATCATATTTATTTCAGTGACTAATTGCATCCTTCCAGGATAGACAGCAAAGTTGTGTTTGATGCTTTAAGCACAGGTTTGGGGAAACTTGGGCCCTCCAGATGTTGCTGAACTGAAGCTCCCATCACTTCTGACCACTGATTCCTGCACTGTGGCAGGTTGGTCTAGATGTCCTTTGGAGTTCCTTTGCAACTCTATGTTTCTATCGCCAGGCTTGCTGCGGCTAATGAGAGTTTCAGTTCCACAGAATCTGGAGGGTCTTGGTTCCCCATACCTGCTTTAAGCACACACAAGTCACATCCCTCTCTATTTCTGAAGATTCTGGAAATCTAATAAGAGACCAAAGCAAAAGGAAAGTCAACGATGTCAGACTGGTTAATACAGGCTTCCCCCTCCTCTCATGTATTGCACACACCCCCCCTTATTGACCAAACAAACTGCTTACCAAAAATATGATGATAAATACAGGCCATTTTGCAAAGCTTGAATTTTAGCGACAGACCATTTATCAGCATCTATTCTAATGCTGGCTGTTTTAAACCCAATAGGGATGTGAGGGAGATTGAAATGAATGGATTCACACCAATTTTGCCATTTGTGTTATGTGGGTGTTATGCAACATACATTTGATGCTCACATCATCTGGTTTTCCATTGGAAAAACACTGTACATTGCAAAGATTTATTGTGACACAAGCTGCGCCTGTTATATTTAAGGGAAGATAGCATTAAATGGCCTTGGTCCAGTATACCTGAAGGAGCGTCTCCACCTCCATCGTTCTGCCTGGACACTGAGGTCCAGCTCCGAGGACCTTCTGGAGGTTCCCTCGATGCGAGAAGTGAGGTTACAGGGAACCAGGCAGAGGGCCTTCTCGGTGGTGGCACCCGCCCTGTGGAACGCCCTCCCATCAGGTGTCAAGGAAATAAACAACTACCTGACTTTCAGAAGACATCTGAAGGCAGCCCTGTTTAGGGAAGCTTTTAATGTTTGGCTTCTCACAGCGAGGGAACTGCCAGAAGGCCCTCGACGCTGGACCTCAGTGTCCAGGCAGAACGAGGGGAGTGGAGACGCTCCTTCAGGTATACTGGGCTGAGGCCGTTTAGGGCTTTCAAGGTCAGCACCAACACTTTGAATTGTGCTCGTAAGAACTATCCTGGGAGAGCTTGAATGGCCATCTGTCAGGGATTCTTCTTTAGCTGTGATTCCTGCATTGCTGGGGGGGTTAGACTAGATGACCCTCATGGTCCCTTCCAAATCTACACTTCTACAAAATAAACAAACAACAGACCACCCAGTTACCACACCGAGCAGTTTGAAGCTGTCTTACCACTGATACATTTAGCCCAGTATTTTATCCACCAGTCTCCCCCCTCCCCCGCCACCCAATACAAGGACTAAGAGCTTGGAGACCAGGGTTCGAATCCTGACTCAGCCATGATGCCCAATGGGTGACCTTGGGCCAGCCACAGTCTTTCAGCCTAACCTACCTCACAGGGTTGTTGTGAGGACAGAAAGCTACCCTGAGCTCCTCGGGAGTAAAGGATAATTCAGCCTCTCCACCCTGCCCTTTCCCAGAACTTATTTCATAATGATTTTTGAAGTCCAGAGACTGAGCTCCTAAGTCTGGCTCCGATGTCTCATGCTTTGTTCTCTTCGGCACTCGCTTTTCAAAAGATGAATCATTTTTAAGATTTCCGTTTGAAGAGAGATGAACGCGATGATGGGAGCTTGGAAGCATCTGACCAGGAGTCACAAGGTGTTGGGTTCTATTCCCGGCTCTCCCCTGACTTTGGGGGAAATTCCTTTCCTTGCTTTGCAGTGAATCTTCACGCTGGTTTTATCTTGACTTCCCGTTGGTCGGTGCCACCATAGGCTCCTGAGCAGCAAATGGTTGGTTTAATCTGCATTCCCATAGGTCCCTTCCAACAACATCCAGCCACCTTGGTTAAGCACATCTGGAGAGCCACAGATGTCCAGCAACCCTGCGTTCCTGCACCATCCTTTATTCACAGAAACACAGAATCGTAGAGATGGAATGGTCCATGAGGATCATTTAAGACTCAGGGTCAGCAATGGTCCACAAAGATCATCTAAGTCAGGGGTCAGCAAACTTTTCCAGCAGGGGGCCAGTCCACTGTCCCTCAGACCTTGTGGGGGGCCAGGCTATATTTTGAAAAGAAAAAAAAAGAACGAATTCCTATGCCCCACAAATAACGCCATTTTAAATAAAAGCACACATTCTACTCTTGTACAAACACCAGGCAGGCCCCATAAATAACCCAGAGATGCATTTTAAATAAAAGGACACATTCTACTCATGTAAAAACACGCTGATTCCTGGACCGTCCGCGGGCCGGATTTAGAAGGCGATTGGGCCAGATCCGTGATCTACCTATGATCTAAGTCCATCACTTGGCAATGCAGGAATCTTTCGATCAACATTGGGCTCGAACCCACGACCCGGAGATTTAAGTGCCTCATGCTCTACCGACCGAGCTACCCATCACACGAAGAGCGCAACTTGTGCTTTTCTGATATTGCAATTCTGTGCCAAGAAATTCAAATTAAGACAAACTCACTTAATAAAAGCAAAATGAGTCCGTGTCTTTTACAAATTGCTGCTGAACAGGAATGCGCAAATCAGACCTTTTTTACATGACAACATTTGCACGTCGCTTGGTTGTAGTTAAGCCGTTGAGCAATATGAAAGCTATCAATTAAAAATGGTTTTTAAAGAGTTTAAAATGATTGAAACATTTGGAAAAAGGAAAACCCTTATCCAAAATCTCTGCTGCCTTGTGGGATATTTTTGGGGAAAGACAAGGTTCAGGAGTAAACCATGCACAAATCCGGACCTAAGCCGGTCAGATTGCGCCTTGTACGCCTCCTTCCGGTAACTTCTGCAGCCAAGCTGGTGCTAAAGGTTTTGCTCTGCTTTCCTTTGGACTACATCAGCGAGGCTGAGAGGGGGGTCTTGTCGTCTGGGTAGCCCAGGACCTCCACAGACTCTGCCCTGGCTTGCACCCCGGGGAGGTCACTCCAGTGCTCCTAACACAGCAGTTTTACTTCACTTCCGGAGGTGCACTCGATAGTCTCTCGAGACAGATGGATGCCAATGCTATTAGACAGCCTACACCTCCTGGCAAATAGAAGGGGAAGAAATGGAGGCAGTGAGAGATTTTACTTTCTTGGGCTCCATGATCTCTGCAGATGGTGACAGCAGTCACGAAATTAAAAGACACCTGCTTCTTGGGAGAAAAGTGATGACAAACCTAGACAGCATCTTAAAAAGCAGAGACATCACCTTGCCGACAAAGGTCCGTATAGTTAGAGCTATGGTTTTCCCAGTAGTGATGTATGGAAGTGAGAGCTGGACCATAAAGAAGGCTGAAATCCGAAGAATTAATGCTTTTGAATTCTGGTGCTGGAGGAGACTCTTGAGAGTCCCATGGACTGCAAGAAGATCAAACCGATCCATTCTGAAGGAAATCAGCCCTGAGTGCTCACTGGAAGGACAGATCCTGAAGCTGAGGCTCCAATACTCTGGCCACCTCATGAGAAGAGAAGACTCCCTGGAAAAGACCCAGATGTTGGGAAAGATGGAGGGCACAAGGAGAAGGGGACGACAGAGGACGAGATGGTGGGACAGTGTTCTCGAAGCTACAAACATGAGTTTGACCAAACTGTGGGAGGCAGTGGAAGACAGGAGTGCCTGGCGTGCTCTGGTCCATGGGGTCACGAAGAGTTGGACACGACTAAACGACTAAACAACAACAACATTCTCTGTTAAAACTCTGTGCATGTTCAAGCATGGGGAATCCCAAGACTGGAGGCCCTCCAAGCCTTTCCATCTGGCCCTCAGGATTCTCCCCAGCCAAGCCCTTTCTCCACAGGCCACACCTCAGCTGTGCTTTGCATCTTCCTGGAGCACTTTTGCCTGACTGGAACGTGTCCTTGAACCCCGAGAAAGATTCTTGCTCGCTCCGGTGGGAAACAGAAACGGGCGCGTGCGAAAATACCCGGCTGTGTAGAGAGATAAAATTTTACATTCGCTGCCCACTTTTGCCTCTGGATGAAAAAGGTCCTTTGCCCTTGCCTTTGGCTGCTTTGCAAGTGTTAAATAACAATAATCTCAGCGTGTGGGCAGGTTCCTGTAGGAGCCGGCAGTGCGGATATTAAGTTTCCGTCCCAACGCAGAGGTCAGGACTACAAAGTACATGAGCGGTGGCAAAAATACCGTTGGCAGAAGGACTTACGAGACAATGGGTCGAAGGCCAGCGGTTCACGGAGGAAACAGGCATGGCTTTCGAAAACACCCAGTCCAAAGCTGTTCTTGAACAATTGTGCAATCTGGGAATAATGGGGAGGGGAGAGAATGGGGGGAGGTTTAAAAAAGGACAAAGGCCGGCGATGTGAGCAGCAGCCAGGAGCTGAACGTACCACCAGTCCCAAGTAAAGGGGACAATTCAGAGAGAGTAATCAGTAGGCAATTTGCCTCCAAGATTCAGGTGGACAAATGCGTTTTCTCAAATCTTCCCAAGGTTGTTCTGAGCCGGCGGCCTCTGACAGAACAACAAGCGCCTAGGGGGGTTGCCAGAGTTCAGGACTGACTTCACCCAGGAACTGTGCTCACAGATCAATGTGACCTCTTGCCTCTGTGTAATTGTTGCGGTTACACTATGTACCAGCACACAAACTCGCTTCCTTGAAAACGCACACACCGGCGTACCTCTGCGTTGCTGCATCAAAGCTCCAACCACAGGAGGAGCAAACTCACGGGAACTAAAATGCAAATCACAAACGAAACCAGACTTTTGGGGTGCGAAGATGAGATGTAAAATGCAGAATGGAAGGGAAGGATGTGGTACTTTGGGTTACAGACGCTTCAGCTTACAGAGGCTTCAGCTTACAGACTCTGCTAACCCAGAAATAGTACCTCAGGTTAAGAACTTTGCTTCAGGATGAGAACAGAAATCGCGCGGAGGCAGCGGGAGGCCCCATTAGCTAAAGTGGTGCTTCAAGTTAAGAACAGTTTCAGGTTAAGAGCGGACCTCTGGAACGAATTAAGGTGTTAACCCGAGATACCACTGTAATTTGTTTTTGTATACCACCCTACACCCATAGATCTCAGAGCGGTTTGCAACATTAATGACATCACTGGCACTGTCCAATAGGTAGTCCAAGCTGGTAGTTTTATGCAGAGATGAATCCTACCGACTGCAGCGGCATCAGCCGGGGTGAAAACTGGTTTGAGCCAATAGTGATGAATGACAGAATCAGGGGAAAACGTCAATGGAGGAAGGGAAACATCTGTATTTTCTGAAACCGAAGAATACAAGAGCCCTCTCTTCCAACCAACACTCCGCACATCTAGTGAACAAACACAGGGGAACAGGATCGTGCTGGATGATCACACTCTTGACCTCATGTATACTGCCAGCGTTTGACAGGTGAACCGGAGGCACAAACAAGTAGGTTGTACTTACTGTAAACACATATAAATCAAATCTCCATCTTCAGCTCAATGCGTGAAATTTGGGGCCATTCAATGCAATGGGGTCAGAGGGTGGGGCTAGCAAGAAAGAGATTTGTGGAAAGAGATTGCCTTCAGTTCCGAAAAAAGCAGCAAGAGGTACAAAATAAGATCTATCCTACTTCAGCATTGAAGTCCGCACAACCAGCTTTCTATTTATTTATTTCAAACGCCCTGCCCTGGCCTGCAGCTTACAAAACCAAAAGCAACAATAGTGCACGCTCTCGCTATATATATATATATATATACACACACACACATACACACACACACACACACACACACACACACTATTAAAACACTACTAAAAACATCTTCTGAACACACAGCAGCTATGGCAACAAACTCACTTTGCTCCTCCTGCTCACAGTCACCAAATGCCTGTGCAAACACGTTTATTTCATTTAGCTCTATTATTTGTTAAAATGTTTTTTATTACACCCTTCCAGCCTATGCGCTCCCCTCCCCTGAAAGACCCACAGTGAGCAGGGATAATGCCTGGGCCACATTTGAAGAGTATCACAGAATCACAGACTTGGAAGGGACTGTGAGGGTCACCCCGCAAGGGGCTCGAACCCACAACCTTGAGATTAAAAGCATTGTGCTCTACCAACTGAGGCCCTTGGCAGAGATTGAGGTGGCCCTATAACAGCATTTTATTACAGACTGGAGCGAATTGAGATGTCCTGCCATTTAAATCCCCGGTTGTCCTTGTTTTAATTAAATTTGCAAAAGATCTGCAGTTAAACGGCCCTTCAGGCTTCTTATTCATGAAGTCGAACGGCTATCCAACCTGCAGGTCTCCCCCGAGGCGACCAGAAAAGGGAAATTCCTTTTATACTTAATTGAAATAATTTAAACAACATGACCATTTACCTGTGATTATGCTGCCTTTGCAATGAAGACTGAGAAGATGAGTAGCTCGGCAGCCCATAATTTGCCTGATTGAAGGGCACGTAACTCCTTAGATGTCTCCAAATAATATTTCATTGCAGCTTTTAGCCCTTTAAAGTTATTTCCAGTTCCAGGGGGAAACATCTCCCCCCAGCCCGGCTGCCAGCCTTTTTAATGATCTATTTTGCTTTGTATTGCTTAATGCAGTTGCTCATAGAGTTGCTATTTCTGACTTATTTCTAACGCGGGTTTTCTTTTTTAAAAATAAAAGTGCGTATTACTGTAAGACAACGTAATTTGATTAAAGAGCGGGTCACAAATTTTAATCAAAAAAAAAAAAAAGATCTAAAATGTTACGAGTGAACTTTCTAATCTCTCCTACAGGTGAGATTAGCCTTGGGAAGAAAAGAATTTGCTAATCAGTGAACTGGTCATGAAAACTCCCTTCCCAAAGCGAGATGGAACAGTGTGACACTGATTACCTGCTCAGCCCTGAGTCACTGGTCTGGAGCAATGCACCCTCTCGCCGGTAGTAAAATGTGTACTCTTTTCCACATTTACAACTTTTGGCACGATGAACCAAACCTGGACTGCCCCCACCAACCGTTGGCTCTGACCGATAAGAACCCAGCCTTATTCAACCCTTCGGTCCCCATTGGAAATTACCGTATTTTTTGCTCTATAAGACTCACTTTTTCCCTCCTAAAAAGTAAAGGGAAATGTGTGCGCGTCTTATGGAGCGAATGCAGGCTGCGCAGCTATCCCAGAAGCCAGAACAGCAAGAGGGATCGCTGCTTTCACTGCGCAGCGATCCCTCTTGCTGTTCTGGCTTCTGAGATTCAGAATTTTTTTTTTCTTGTTTTCCTCCTCCAAAAACTAGGTGCGTCTTGTGGTCTGGTGCGTCTTATAGAGCGAAAAATATGGTGATTATTACCGGAGGGGCGACGGCACGGTTGTGGCTCCCTTGGTGAACCTTAATAATAACAACCATTTTATTATTTATACCCTACCCATCTGGCTGGGTTGCCCCTTAAAGGACAGAGAAGGCCACACTTTTTTGATGTAGGTTGCCTATTTTAAAGTTTTATTATCACATTTTCGTATTGCATTAGATTGTTATAAGATTTACATTTTTTGTTTCTTCAGCTTGTAAACCGCCTTGAGTATTGTAAGATAGAAAGACGGTATACAAATTAAAAAATGATGATGATACATACATACAGGGACGTAGGAAGCCATCTTCTGCCAAGTCACAGAATCATACAGCTGTAGCGTTGGAAGGGACCCGAGGGTCATCTAGTCCAACCCCCTGAAAGGCAGGACCGTTGGTCCATCTCAGCTCAGTACTGCTGACACGGACTGGCAGCAGTTCTCCAGAGTCGACAGCAGCACAGCAACTGAAGAAGCTGCCTTCTGCAGAGTCAGGCCACTGTGAGAACAGGATCCTGGAACAGATGGGCCTACATTTTTGCCTAATCCTGCAAGGCTTTTCTTAGGTCCCAATGGGAACTGGGACATTTCGCACGCAGTGCAGCTAAGCATCTTACTCATCTGGACCCCACTGCTGAGAAGTTCGTACCAAAACAGATACGAGCTGCCGATTTTTCACTGTGGCATTTTATTAATTTTATTATTGCCCTGCTTGCGAGCAACAATTTGCATCCGCTCCCCGAGTCATGGAGCGTGCTTAAAATCCTTTTCGCCCCGGCGGACACTTTGGCGTTTAAAACCAGGGAAAGGGTTCCCCATGTTCTCTTCAAAATGTCGCCGTGAATTGTGTGCCACGATATTTATCTGAGGTTCTTAATCTAGCCGCTCAGACGGCCAAGGCAAATAACCGTTCTTCCTGAGCAGGTTCCTTGCCACCCCCAGAAAAAACACCAAAAAACAGCAATGCATGTGGGCAGGGAAGCAGAGACTATTTTCGCATTTGGGGCTCATTCTGGCACTTACTGGCAAAGCATAAGACAGCGAAAACCTTTGCAATTAAAACACACACCTGCCCCAGAATCATTTGATCGCCTGTCCTAGAACAGATCTTCATTTCCCAACCAATTAAGCTTCGTAATACTGAAGGCCTCTGCGAAAAGGTTCCAACAAAACATTGGCACCTGCAATCTAAATATTTGACTATTTCATTCCCAAAGGTCTCGTTTATTAGCGGCACTGGAAAAGCCCATTGAAAACTCTGAATTATTAGGGCTGCCTGCACCCCTGGCTTAACAGAGACTTTGCAGCCGTTCGTCCTCCTCAGGACGTTTCTTTGAGGGAAATGTTTGCTACCGGATTTGAGCGGGCTCTTTGCTGCGCTAGGAATCGCAGAATCGTAGAGTTGCAAGGGACTCCTGAGGGTCATCTAGTCCAACCCCCTGCTGCAACGCAGGAATCTCAACTGAAGCATCCATGACAGATGGCCATCCAACCTCTGCTTAAAAACCCCCCAAGGAAGGAGAGCCCACCGCCTCCTGAGGAGTGGCAGGCCACAGCAGCAGCCACCATTTTGATTTTCCACATTGCCGAAGGCTGGGATTACAAGCTTGGTTGTGGAGCTCCCCAACGGCGACGCAAGCTGATTTTTGAAATTCGCTATTTCCCCAATTATATTTTATTAAGTTTCAACGTTTTACACATGTACAATTGATATACTGACTGAAAATGTATTTTATTGCAACTGTACTGTAACTTTTGAATATACCGTAGCTCTATAAGACTCACTTTTTCCCTCCTAAAAAGTAAGGGGAAATGTGTGCGCGTCTTATGGAGTGAATGCAGGCTGCGCAGCTATCCCAGAAGCCAGAACAGCAAGAGGGATTGCTGCTTTCACTGCGCACTGATCCCTCTTGCTGTTCTGGCTTCTGAGATTCAGAATATTTTTTTTCTTGTTTTCCTCCTCCAAAAACTAGGTGCGTCTTGTGGTCTGGTGCGTCTTATAGAGCGAAAAATACGGTATATATATTTTTAAAAAGCATATACAATCAAAACACATTTCCGTCGTTTCTGTTATTTTTACCAGCTCCCCCCCCCCCCATTTTCCATGGAGTTGTTTCTTCTCCCTTCCGCTGCACCCTAACTTCCATCTATTAAATCATAACAACTGTGTTATAATCAAATTACTACTGTTGCTCAAATCCTGATCGCAATTCTCCATACTATAGTATTTCTTTAAGTAGTCCGAAAAAGGCACCCATTCTTCTTTTGGAATTCATTCTACTGGGACGGCCAAGACTGTTAAAAAAACTGGTGTGCCCTTAGCTGGCCAGAAGCGCCTCTTGAAAGACTCGTTTCACCCCCAGTTCTCCACATATCCTGGGCGAACAACGGTGAGAAGCCGGCATCGTTCCTGTCTCAATTGCCGTGCCTGATCGATGCCTCTCTGCAAGATCTGGGCTCCTGGTTCTGCTGCAAAAATGAATCTGTGGAGTCTTACTGAGCTGCTTGCTTTGCCTGAAGAGAGGGAGTTGGAGGGGAAGAAGGGGCGTCTATCTGCCCCCCCCCATAACCAGCTTAAGGCAAAGGTGGGGGTCCCATTGGCCCCAGACAGCATGGCCAACGGTCAGGAGTGACGGAAGTTGCTTCCAACAACATCCGAATAATAATAATAATAATAATAATAATAATAATAATAATAATATATTCCCTGGCTTTTTTCTGGCCCATGTAGGACCAGTCTGGAAAGTTAGCCTTGGTGAAGACCTGACGTTTTCATCCCCAAAAAAGTTTTTGATTTGAGTTTCCATTGAAATGAGGCTGTATTTTAGTTTTAATGTTGTATTTTAATCTTGTTTTTTACGTTGTATTTCAATCAATTTGTTTTATATTGGGTGTTAGCCACCTTGAGCCCAGTCTTGGCTGGGGAGGGCGGGGTATAAATAAAATTTAATTAATAATAATACCCCGCCCATCTGGCTGGGTTTCCCCAGCTACCCTGGGCGGCTTCCAACCGAATATTAAAAACATAGCACAGCATCAAACATTAAAAACTTCCCTAAATCTGAAAAGCTAAAGGTTCCCTGCTGTGATGTGCGGAGAGTCAATATTCTTTTCTCCCCTGGAAAAAAGGCCCCATCGGGTGTGCTGGATTGGGGCAGCGGAGTCGAAGGAGACCAAAAATTTCCCCTGGTTTATTCGCTGCCTCTGCAACTGCGTTTGATGCCATCCTTTCGAACAGGAGAAAAGCAAAGGGGTGCAGCTGGGGCTGGACCGAAACCTGCCCCTCCCTCCTGGTCCTCTGGGGTGAAAGGCAAATTTTGCCTCTTCTTAGCTGTTGCTCCCAGTACAATTGCTGCCTGTTCAATTTTCTAGAACAGCCCTTCAGATGCTGGAAGAACACAAACAGGTCTCCCTTTAAACCTTCACTTTTCTAGGCTAACCATACTCAGCTCTTTCCAGATTCTTTGCCATCCGAGTCACTTTCTCCTGGGGGGGGGGGATCCCCCAGTCTGTCCATTTCCTTACTGAACATTTGGGACCCAGAATGAGACGCGGTACTTCAGATGCGGCCTGGCCTGTGCAGAACAGAGTGCGGCTACTATTTCCCACGCTTCGGACACTATGGGCGGCCCAAGATCCCATTAGCTTTTTTAACAGCTGCCTCTCATGGCTGGCTCACGTTCAGATTGCAATCAACTAAAGCAGCAGTGGGGAACTTGCTGGCCTTCAGGTACTATAACTCCCATTGCGCCTGGCCGTTGACATCCAGCAACCTGGGGGCGGTGGGAAGAGGCAGGCACAGGTCCCCACCCCAGAACGAATACACCTGGAAGTTGGTTTTTTTACATGTATTGCAGCCAGCCTGTTATTAATTACTATCACCGTTAATTTTATCCTGCCCTTCCTCATTACAGAGCCCAGGGAAGCTAACAACACCCACAGGATACAGCACGGAAATAAAATAAAAGCTACATTTTGCAGGAAAGTACTTCAGCCTATGATAATCTGCAGCGTTCAAGTTTTCGAATACTTGAGCTAAAAGTGTAAAAATGAAATAAAAGCTACATTTTGCAAGAAAATACTGTAGCCTATGATAATCTGAAGTATCCAAGTTTGTCTAAAAGTGGAACACCTTTTAGACACCCTGGACAGCTAAAGACAAACAGGGACACTTCCTCTAGGCTCCAGAGACCTCGGCCTCTCCTATCCTACACTTGAGCTTTTGAATTTTGTACCGAAATGGGGGAAAAACACACCCCAGAAGCTTCTCCATAAAACGACCCAAGGTCTAAAAACCTTCCTTCCCAGTTTTCCAAGAAACGGCAATTCTGTACATGTCCGAATCAGCGGGCACCCACCCTCATCTTCAGTGAACCTGGCAATTCCAAATAAAACCATCTCACTACGGTACAAAGCGATTCATAAGATCAAGGGGCAAGTTTGCATTCTCAAAAGCATCCAAGGGGCCACGATGGGCTTCAAGTTTGAACAGCTCGTCTGCGTGGAGACATATGTTTGTTCAGAAACCTCCACTTGCTCTGAAGGGAGTTGTAAGAACCGTCGGCGGAGAAGGAGGCAGAAACAGAAGGCGTACCTACGAAGCCGAAACAGCTCTCCTCCATGGAGAAATACCTGCTGTCTAACCAAACTGCCATGAGCCTTCTCTCGCTCTGAAAGGCACTGAGATTGACGTGGCAAGATGCTCATCTCTGCCATGAGACCGCCTAAACCACAAAATCGCTTTCAAGGAGTGCTGGGGAGGAACCTACCAAACTGACCTTGAAACACCTCGGCTTCAATCGCTTTCACCGCTGCCGAGAGCAGGGGAACCAGGGGATACGTTACAATCACAAGAGGAGAGGAATCAGAAATTGTCACAGTCTTTAAAAACCCTCCTCGCAAAGTGTTTGGAGTCTTATTTTTCGAGTTAAGGTGTGGAACAGACGTCGCCCGCAACCGGATTCTACTTCTTATAAAGAGAGAAAGAGACAAGGAGAAGGAGGTGGGGCGGGAAAGCAGAAACAAGAAGAAGGAACCTCGGTTTTTGGAGAAATGAAAACACGTACCTATGGAGATGCACTTGACGACCCGAGCTGTTAAAGCAGAGGAGAGCCAGCCGACGAAAAGCACGTAATCCAAATGACAGGACGAGTTCCAGGCTGCAGCTCGCAGCACGCCCAAAGGGGGGGGCATGATTTGCATGTTCCCTTTATAACGAAAGCAAAGTTCAGGTCAAAATTGGAACGGGAGGAGACGTGTAAAAACCCCCTGCAACCCTGATCAAACTCGAGTTCTTGTTCCGTTGTGGGGGACAGAGGCCTCAAAACACACACACACACAATTCCCACAGGGAGACAGGAATTTGCACCCTGGCAATTATTTGTTATTTTATTTTTTAAAAAATGCTATTTATGCCTGCCTGGGACAAACTGAGCAAAGCAACCAGGAAGTTAAGGGCAGCAAGCGTCACTCCCAAGAGGCTGGCAGGTTCTGAGCAGAAACACAGCAGCGTTCATTGCCTTGGGTGGGTTTAAAGCAGGAGAAAAACCGTGCCAGGATACGGCCCTCCCTAAAGATTATATATATGTGAGAAATGCTGAAATAAGGAACTGCAAAACAAGAAGTCGTCTGCCTATTTTTAAAAGGAACTGCGTCAAGAACTAGGGAGTTGTTTTTTGGTTTTTTTACAGTAACGCTTCAAAGCTTGGAGGACTCGGGAGCCGGGAAAGATACGCAGAGGAGGCTGTTTGCACATGTCACTGCTGCTTCCATTATGTAACTCTCTTTCAAGCACTTTGGCAATCCAGTTTGTGTTCATTCTTAGCGGCCTCATGAAGCGGATCAATATTGTTTCCACCGGGCAGATTAAGAGCCAGTGCTTCCCTTTGCAGCGCCGGCTGAGTGGGACAAGCGCTTTGTACACGTGGCACTTTTGTGCAGCGCAGGAATAAGAAATGTGGTCACGGGGACGGAAAGAAGCTTCCTGAGAATCTCTCTGACTTTTCTGGGTTTTTTTAAAAAAGGGGGCAAGCTTCTAGACCTTGCAAACTTATCTTTGCGGCCAGGTAGCTGCCGCTGGCGCCAGCAGCAAGGTCACCCTTCTGTCCTTTCCTCCACATTCGTCCCCTAAAACCACCATTTTCCATTACACCTTTGGCATCCACTCTGAAATATACTCGGAGTCGAGAGTGGATTTCATGCTCTTTATTCAGCTCATAGTGGTGAGGAGGAATGGAAGTTCCTCCAGAATGTCTGCTTTATATACATTATTTACACAATGGGCCCCACGTGACTGGCTAATTCCGGGATTCTCCTGTAAGCCAATCAGGTCGCGGATTTACTTCTACCTGGAGCTGGATTGGGTGGCTCCTGTGGACCAATCAGACTGCTGCATTCTGGAGCCTATTGTTCTAGGACCAATCAGGCTGCTACATTCTGAATCCTATTGTTCTAGGACCAATCAGACTGCTGCATTCTGAACCCTATTGTTCTAGGGCCAATCAGACTGCTGCATTTTGGATCCTGTTCAACTCAGTACATAACACCCACTCCCAGTACCTTATTTAGACTGAGCCAAAGTACGCAGAGCCAGAATACTTATATAATCTTCCAATTGACCCCCTACGTCCTTTTCAATCCCCTTCCTCTGTTGCTTTCCTGGTGCCTGTTTCTAGTACGTAAGCTCCTTGGGGCAGGCACCTGCCACCAGGTATTTTAGCAAAGTGCCTTGTACCATGTGAACAGCATAATAATAGCACAACCGTTTGAAAATGAGTGGGCAACGCCTGGTAGAATAGTGGGAGGAGATGGTCAAATAGGATTTGCAATGGTCAAAGGAGTAAGATGATGATGGGAGTTTTCAGGTAGCATAATGGACCGGGCAACTTCAGATACACGGGAGTGCATAAGAACATGAGAAGAGCTTGCGGGATGAAGCCAATGGCCCACCTTGTCCAACATCCTCTTCTCACAATGGTCTGTGGGGAACCTGCAAGCAGGATTTGAACACAAGAGCAACAATCTTCCCTCCTGTGCAATGTTAGAAACTCAGATATATAAGCTAACCACCAAATGGCACCTTAAACCTAGGTTATGGTTTTCCCAGTAGTGATGTATGGAAGTGAGAGCTGGACCATAAAGAAGGCTGATCGCCAAACAATGGATGCTTTTGAATTATGGTGCTGGAGGAGACTCTTGAGAGTCCCATGGACTGCAAGAAGATCAAACCTCTCCATTCTGAAGGAAATCAGCCCTGAGTGCTCACTGGAAGGACAGATCCTGAAGCTGAGGCTCCAATACTTTGGCCACCTCATGAGAAGAGAAGACTCCCTGGAAAAGACCCTGATGTTGGGAAAGATGGAGGGCACAAGGAGAAGGCGACGACAGCGGACGAGATGGTTGGGCAGTGTTCTGGAAGCTACCAGCATGAGTTTGACCAAACTGCGGGAGGCAGTGGAAGACAGGAGTGCCTGGCGTGCTCTGGTCCAGGGGGTCACGAAGAGTCGGACAAAACTAAACGACTAAACAACAACATGGTTGCCACAGTGGAATGTCTAAGTGCCATTTCCCACCAATGGAATACTACTACTACTAATAATAATAATAATAAAATTGTTATTATTATTATTAGTAGTAGTAGTAGTATTTGCATTTCGATACTGCATTATCTTTTAAAGAACAAATCTCAAAGCTGTTTTAAAACATCCAATAAAACAACCCAGAAAAAAAATTCAAGCTGCAAGGGAAATATTTCAGATCCTTCTCTAAATGACACTTTGCTTTCTTCAATTGCCAACTTGGCATCCAGAGATCTCCACATGGTAGCAATTGGACCTGTCCTGGTCGCAAAATGCGCCTGGCTAATTTCTAACACTGCTCTTGCGGTTTCCAGCAACTGGTATTCACAAACATTGCTGCCTCCGACTGCAGGGGTAAGAGCATAACTATGATGGCTAGTAGCCATCAATCGCCCTTTCCTTCAGGAATTTGCCCAATCCCCTATTTGACAGCTCTCTAGGTTGGTGGGCATCCCTGCCTCGCACGTTCCACAGTTTAACCACGCACGGCACAAAGCACTTTCTTTTATCTGCCTTGAATTTTACAAAACATTTCGCTTGCTAAATAGTCCTTAAAAAGGCTGCACTATTTAATTATGTGCCGCATCAAACACACACACATTCCCTCTAATTGTTTCAAACGAGTGGCCTTTGTTACAACGAGCAAATACTTTGTTCCCCCTGTTAAGTCGGAGATGAAATTAGCCATGCCTAATTGGGCAGATTGCAAACCTTTGAATTATTTTATACGCCACTGACACCTCTGTGGTTATGCTCCCTGCATCCCCCTGGGGAAAAAGCTATCTCCTTTGTGTGTTCGGTCCCAATTTGGGGCAAATCTTACAGTTTGGGGTTAAGCCATACCCTTCAACAAAGCAAACAGTTCTGATTTTTTTTTTAAGAGGCATCAGAACATCCTTCAAACCCTGGGGCAAGTAGCAACTGCCCCAGAATGAGAAGACATTTATTGAATCTGTACACAGACATCCAGGTATTACCATGTCCAGGGAGCAATATCTGCTTTTCAAGATTGTGATATATCACCAACTTGTACTACCAACCTTACTGCACGCTTGTGAAACATGGACCACTTATAAACGCCATCTCCAACTCCTCCAAAGATTACATCAACGGTGTCTCCGAAAATTTTTACACAACACCTGGGAAGACAGGCGAACTAATGACACAGTGTACTGGAAGAAGCAAAGATCACCAGTGTCGAAGCAATGATTCTTCAACATCAACTTTGTTGGACTGGTCATGTTTTTTGGATGCCTGATTATCGTCTCCCAAAGCAACTACTCTATTCCGAACTTAAAAATGGAAAGCGTAATGCTGGTGGTCAACCAAAGAGGTTTAAAGAATCTCTCGAGGCAAATGTAAAAAAATGGAGTATAAACACCGACAACTGGGAAACAATGGCCTGCGAGCGCTCCAATTGGAGAACAGCCTTTACCAAGCACTAGGATACCACTTTAAGCAGTCGTGGGTTCCCGCAAAGAATCCTGGGAGATGTAGTTTGTTAAGGGTGCTGGGAGTTGTTAGGGTGCTTCAGAGAGCTACAATTTGCAGAGTTGCCTCTCTGGAAATTGTAACTGTGAGGGGAACGGGGGGGGGGTGTCCATTAATAGCTTAGATGATGACCACCTCAGATGTCCCATTAATTGCACCTTTCATTTTTAATAGGCAGATTTTTTTAAAAGGCAAATGGTGTTGTAATAATATCGTATTCCTAATTTGTTTTAACTGTTTTTAAAACTGAATTTTAAGTTGCTGAGCCCACCTTGGGACCTGCTGGGGTAAAGCAAGTTATACTACTACTATATGTAGTATAAACACTGACAACTGGGAAACACTTGCCTGCGAGTGCTCCAGTTGGAGAACAGCCTTTACCAAAGGTGTCATGGGCTTTGAAGACACTCAAACTCAGGACACAAGGGAGAAACGTGCTGAGAGGAAGGCACGCTTTGCAAATCCTCACAGTGATCAACTCCCGCCCGGAAACCAATGTCCCCACTGTGGAAGGACGTGTGTATCCAGAACTGGCCTCCACAGTCACTTACGGACTCACTGTTAAACCCATTGAAGAAAATCTTACTTGGCGGTGAGTGATCGCCAAAGAAGATGACCTCACCAGCTAACCATTGTGATATAGAGATATACCAAGATGTCTGAAATAACACTGGAAAAGGCTGAAAAAGAGGCTGAGCTGTGGAGGGAGGGAGGGAGGACCAACGGCCTCAGTCCAGTATACCTGAAGGAGCGTCTCCACCCCCATCGTTCTGCCCGGACACTGAGGTCCAGCGCTGAGGGCCTTCTGGTGGTTCCCTCACTACGAGAAGCGAGGTTGCAGGGAATCAGGCAGAGGGCCTTCTTGGTAGTGGCACCCGCCCTGTGGAATGCCCTCCCAACAAATGTCAAAGAGAAGAACAACTACCAGACTTTTAGAAGACATCTGAAGGCAGCCCTCTTTAGGGAAACTTTTAATGTTTAATAGACTATTGTATTTTAATATTCTGTTGGAAGCCGCCCGGAGTGGCTGGGAAAACCCAGCCAGATGGGCGGGGTATTAATAATAATAATAATAATGGGAGAAAGGGAAGGAGGTTGCCTGCCCGCTTGGGCAAAGGAGCTTCTGCCTTGTCC